CATGTCTGGCCATTTCGAATAGCCATTAAGGGGGAATTATAGAAAAGCTACTCATGCCAGCGGAAAGCAGCGAATTCTCATCTTTTATAGTTTGCCTTTGTTGTCTCTGCGTTTTATTGTTATAATAATTATTAATTTATGCAGCAGACATTTGCATTAACATCGCATTAGCGATGACTATTTTCGTGGCAGCTCGATTAAGTTGGTCCGAACTGAGATCCGAGATCCAAACGATCGCCGCGACAGGTTCAACATTACCATTAAACATGGGTTAACCCCCTCTCGCCCCCCTCCCATATGCTTAACCCTTTTCGACGTCCACTTCTTTTTGGAATCACGCTTTTATACTTCCCTTCCTTTTTTCTTCGCTTTTTTCTGTTCTCGCTGCTGGTTGGCTGTTTATTTGTTTAATTTATAAGCCTGCCTCCAAGCGCCGCCCACCAACCAGAAATAAAAAAGTCAAAATATATAAAAACAACCGCCAAGAGCCAACAAATGCCGGCCGGCAAGTCTTTTTTTTTATTTTATTTATTTTTTTTTTCTACTCATTTTTGGTTAGCAGCTCGCATTTTTGTCTTTTGTTTGGAGTTTGCTGGGCGGCATGAATGAATGGCACTGTGACATGCTGTTTTGTACCAGACTGTACTGCAATTAACAGAGCTCTCTTAATTGAATAAAACAATTAGCTTGACGGTGGCAAAATACTGCAAATAATACAAGTAATAGTGAAAAGTAGTACGCAATTTAAATGGCCAAAAATAGGCGATAAATAGGTAAAGGCACAAAGTTGAAACAAGAGCGCTCACTGTGCGATTTTAATCGGGTACAAGAGTTTGTCGGGTTGTCGGGTTGTCGGATTTCCTTTTGCCATTTGTCAGAGGGCTTAACTGCCACTCCACCGCCCCCCTCGCCGGCGGAATCCCCCCGCCCATCCAGCAACCTTAAGCGTTTTAGCAATTGAATTTCTAATAGGCTTACCACCTCGCGGTTGTTTTTTCATCACTCTGCATGGCATCGAAAACCATTTCAATTTAATGGCAGTACGCTTTATAGAGTGCCTAATGGACATTCCCAGAAAATGGTAGCATAGACCACAGAACCATTAAATCGCTGGCTTCTCTGGCCTGTGATAAAATTTGTAATTCTAGGGGCTCTATAGGGAACTACAGAAACAAAAAAGAAGGAACGCCATCCAAGTGCTGTAATTAAGTTCTGTGTATCTCATCTCGTTTTCCGTTGGCGAGCGGCCAAACCTCTGTTAATTGAATTAAATTTTAATTTGCCCAACGAATTAGGAGTCGTGGCGGCATGACGTCAAGTGCTTTTTTCGGGTCAGGTCAAAGCACCTCCCCCTACCCCCTCCGCCCATCCAACCCATATGTATTGTATGTGCAATGAGTATGCGTTCGCTTTATCTGGGGCGCTCTGTTTGACGGGATGTTTGCCACCATTATCGGCATGGTATCGCTAACGAGAACCTGACCAAACCCACAGTGACAAATGCTGTTCCAAAAACTATATGTCATAACAATGAATGTAATCAGGAACAGCGATATGCGAAATGAGTTGGGCTTTAAATGTATGTATGTGCCTATATAATAGTTAGTTATTCTTAATTCTTAATGAATCCCATGACTGTTTAACCAATTAGTCAGCGCAGAAATTTAACTCCTAATCATTAGCGCTCAAATTTATAATCCAACAATATTAACATTCCTTCGGCTCTATCGTAGTACTAAATTCCAAAAAGATTACAAGTTAGTAGCCATTTGGAAAAACCACCAACCACCATCCACCATTTTTGAATCTATTTTCATGAATTAAGAACGAATATTGAATGCATTACATGCCTTAATAGAATGCAGTTGGAATGTATTCCGGCGAAAGCGCTTCTCCTGACCCCTGAGCACACCCATTCCAAATGATTTACATTTCCATCTGGCACTTGGATGTTGTTCCCCCAAACTTGGCCTTACTATTTTCCAGCTTGCAATGCGTTGGCACGCACGACTCCGTTTAGTTGGGGACTCACGCATTTCAAATGTAATTCCATTGCGTAAGCGGGGGCGCAGGGGGCGTGGTCCGTCGGAGGTCCGATGTCTATGACTACTGGCCATTCACGCATACGCTTAACACACTTCTGCCCGCATTTTCTATGCAAACAAAAGCCGGAGAGGAGCAGAGCTGCCAGCGAAGCGGAATGCGTGCCAAATGCGAATTGTAAGGCTACACGGCGAGAAAAGCAGCAGCGCTTTGAATGATAGTGGTGTAATGTGTTCATCAAGAAGAAACTTCGCTTCTATGCTTTATAGAAATGGGTTTGTAAGAAGTAGAGAGGGTTTTTTGTTTTGTGTGTTTTAGCGGCGGTGGCGGAGGAGCATATGACCAGGGGGCAGAGATTGGGACGCGGTCGCAGCTCTTAGCACGATGGCGTTAATTGCCGAACGCCAAGTACGCGGCCCGCAAACAAAGCGAACTCCAATGCTATTCCCGCACACAGAGTCCACAATTGAGGCACATTTGCTTAGGCAATTTCTTGCTCGGCTGCAGCAACTGGAACGCCAGCAATTAGCATCCAATCTGGTAGCGCATTCAACTAACCAACTCCATCCACTTGCAGGACTACAATGGCGAGTGTCCGTACTCGTTGTCACCCGTCAGCGCCAAAAGCCAGAAACTGTTGCGATCGCCGCGCAAGGCCACGCGCAAGATCTCTCGCATTCCCTTCAAGGTGCTGGACGCGCCCGAGTTGCAGGACGACTTCTATCTGAATCTGGTCGATTGGTCGTCGCAGAACGTGCTGGCGGTGGGCCTGGGCAGCTGTGTCTATCTGTGGAGCGCGTGCACCAGTCAGGTGAGTCCCGCAAAGTAGCTACAGTTAAAGTTTGAAACTAATCAATGATTTTCCGATGGCCGTCGTTATAGGTGACCCGCCTGTGTGATCTCAGTCCGGATGCGAATACGGTGACCTCGGTGTCGTGGAACGAGCGTGGCAACACCGTCGCCGTGGGCACACATCACGGCTACGTGACCGTCTGGGATGTGGCGGCCAACAAGCAGATTAACAAACTGAACGGCCATTCGGCGCGTGTGGGCGCCTTGGCCTGGAACAGCGACATCCTGTCGAGCGGCTCGCGTGACCGCTGGATCATACAGCGGGACACAAGAACGCCGCAGCTGCAATCGGAGCGACGCTTGGCCGGCCATCGGCAGGAGGTGTGCGGACTGAAATGGTCACCGGATAATCAGTACTTGGCCAGCGGCGGTAACGACAATCGGCTGTACGTGTGGAATCAGCATTCCGTGAATCCCGTGCAATCATACACGGAGCATATGGCGGCTGTCAAGGCGATCGCCTGGTCGCCGCATCACCACGGACTCCTGGCCAGCGGCGGAGGCACGGCGGATCGGTGTATTCGATTCTGGAACACGCTGACGGGCCAGCCCATGCAGTGCGTGGACACGGGCTCGCAGGTTTGCAATCTGGCCTGGTCCAAGCACTCCTCGGAGCTGGTCTCCACGCACGGCTACTCGCAGAACCAGATTCTCGTGTGGAAGTACCCATCCCTCACGCAAGTGGCCAAGCTGACGGGCCATTCGTATCGTGTGCTCTACTTGGCGTTGAGTCCCGATGGCGAGGCCATTGTCACGGGCGCCGGCGACGAGACGCTGCGATTCTGGAATGTGTTCAGCAAGGCGCGCAGCCAGAAGGAGAACAAGTCCGTGCTGAATCTGTTTGCCAATATCAGATAAGGACAATAATCCAAGGAGCGAAGACTGAGCGAGGCGCCAAAGGCAAATACAACACAACACAAAAGAAAGCAAAACAACAGAAATCGATACTAGGAGCCGAAAAACAAAGCGAAACCAACCAAGCCAAGCAATCAGCAAACCAAGCAGAAACTAACAAACTAATCGAGCCTATATGCTATACACACACACAAACGATCATTGTTTAGCCGTCGTTAGTAAATTGGAGTGAACACAGCAGCAATAGTTAAAATACATTTAAGTTAAGTCCACTGTATAGAATGGTAATTAGCAACATATACGTAGGTAAACAAACACATGCAATTTACGAAGGATGAAGAGATGGCTGAACTAAGAACTGAACATGAAATTAACTCTATGGAAGTTGTCATCAATTGGAAAATCGACAACACCCCACACTCTGTAATAGAAGATTTTGTTGCTTTTCTCAACGTTTTTTTTATTGTGCTACACCTACACTACACCCATGAAAATTGTATACATTATATATTATATTATATATTATATATATTTTTTTGCTAGCCTCTAAGTACGTAACTTTATTTCAAGCTAACATTTATATACACATTTCGCTCACCAGACACACTCATACACGGAACACACGATGTATATTAAATAAATTTATATACTTTCTAACTGTGCCCCAAAAAGTATGCTTGTTTTTTCGGTGGCCTAGTGGAGTTTGAAACCGCGAAACGGTTATGCGGCTTGGTGGCTTGGCGGCTTAGTGGGGGCTCAATCCGCGCGCTTGACAAAGCTGCGAGCTTTTGTCTGGCACCTGTCTGCGAAAAGCTTTTCTTTACTTTTTTCTTAACTTTTGGACGCATCTTCGTGGGCGTGGCCATGGGCGTAGGGTGTTAAGGGGGCTCAAGAATATTTAGGGAGTTTCCACAGTTGATATGAAAGCAGCTTGCAATGCGTCAACTGATGATTTACCAAGTAGTTGTCTACTTCGCAAAAGCGATTTTCGACCAAAGTGAAAAACCAGAAATTTTTCAATTAATTCAAATTTAATGTGTATAGTTTTTGGCTATGGCCAAAAACCCCCGTGGGCCACGCCCCTGGGCGACCTGCAGCTTCCGCTGGCGACGACGTCGGCTTCTCGGTTTCTTGGCCTGGCTGGCTGCTTTTCAATTTGTTGGTGTTTTTTGTGTTTTCATGATTTTTTCTTGTCTTTTTTTTTTTTTTTTTGGTTTTTTGGCCAAGTCCAAGTTTAACAGCGCTCGACGCGCCAGAATCAAGTTCAGTTGCGCCGCAAACGCGTCGCGGAAATGTTTCGCTGCTTCAGCTGCTGCTGCCACCGTCCGAAAGAAATCGAAATCGAAACCGAAATTGAAATTTAATTTAAAATTTAAAAAGCCACTGTTTGAAATCCGCATCCTTGCCAACCGTTACAGAACCAGAACACATAGAAAACCCGATACAACGAAACGGGAATCCAAACCGTTTGATAGTTTACTTCTTTCCCTAAAGTTCTCAGGTAAAAATTGTGTTGCACTTCTGTTTTGTTTTTGTTGTTTTTTTGGAATATTTTTTGCATGTGAAGTGCGTACACGTGTCCTTGCCGTTTTGTTGCGGTTTTCCTGCGGCTGCCTTTTGAAGGTCACTCACGCACGAAGGCCGCGCCCAGTGGGTGGTGGCCAATATATATTTGGGGGCGGCTGGCCGGAGTGGGCCAAATGTCAAAAGGTGAAGGCAGCCAGGCGGCCTTGGGATTAAAGCACAGCTTTCCCAGCCGAATCGACGAGTGAAAGTGCGGGGCATCGCAAGGATAAGAATCAAGTAAAAGTGAATTCTTTGCTGGGATCACTGATCGAAAAACCAAGAACAAAAACCAACAAGTGTGCAGTATACTTTAAGGTTAAGGATATTCCGGAAACTGCCTTGAAAAATCATCACATGTATGAACAAGCCCCAGATAAATGGTTTAAAAAAATGATGCACCTATTAAATGCCAAAACTAAAGGGTCTATCTTGAAAGGATCTAAATCGATTCTCGTTTGCATTAATCTTTTCCTTTTTACCAATCGAAAGGATTCTTCTAATAAATTGCTGCAAAAGGATACATGGATGTGAGCACTACTAAACTATTGTAAAGATGAGAATATATATACCATGCGTAATTCAAGGATAAGTGAAATGTGGTGAGGAAGTATTCGAATTTGCGGTTATCCATCTAGTTAGCTGATGATAGCTTTTGAGATGAGCCTTTGAAGTGGTGATGCAACCACCAGAAACACTTAGAAACCCCACCCAGAAAAAAAATTTGAAGGCGGCTTTTCCGCAGAACCTCTTGGCATTTTGGACAGCATTTGCATGCCAAACACTTCTCGTGGCCGCCAGTTGGATGATGTTTTGTGGACACATCCAAGTGGGAACATGGTTAAATATTTGGGTGGCCGATCAGCAAGATCTTTCCATCATTTTTGGCAACTTCGATCCAATGCGATGGCATTACCTCCACATGCCGTGAAATTTGCTTAGCGATTAGCACACGTGGTCAGTGGGAAGGTCAGTGATGTGTATTTGTATTTCTATACCTCTTTTTTCTGGTACAACATTCTCGAGCGTTTTCGCCAATTGCAAAAGACAACAATACGTTCTTGGCTAACTTCCGATCGGTTTCACCCCGCAGACAACCCATCCTCTATTTCTGCCAATTAACGCCTTGTCTTTACTTTCGGTATTGAGTTTTGGGTTTTGGGTTTTTGGTTTTGGATTTCGGCTGTCGGTTTTCGATTTCAGTCTGAATCCGAGCCGCCAGTTCACTGCTACTATAGCCATCTTTTGTCTTTCGACCTTGGTTGGTGGGGGTGGGGGCGGGGGCCGTTCAATGACCGACACTGTGCAGTTAGCTCCATGCATATCGATCCGCCTACCGATCGAGATTTATGCAAAGACAATGACCAGCCAGTGTTTGCTCTTTGATTGGCCCTAATTCCATCGTCCCCAGCCGGACACCACTTTACGATCACTTTCCAAAATATCTCACTGTAATAGGCTTCTAAAATATGTGCTAACTTAGCTTTATGAACCTGAAAGTGTTAACAATATAAAAGGAGGTGTTAGGTAATGGTTTATGATGGCAATTCGGTTGGGGAAATCAGCAAATACATTCGAATAGTTCAAGGACTTGCATGTAATAGTATCGAAAACCTTAATCGAAGAAAACGATGAACCTCAAGCCTTGCAAGCTGAAAGCCCATCGATTTCTGTATAGAATATTGACCGCTATTGTGTGCGTATGCTGCACTTGAACTTGACCCCATTTTTTGGCCAGAGGACAAGGACGGAGATTCGATTCCTTTATGAACGGGGCACGTCGGAAGGTCTGGTCTGCTCGGCGGCAATTACGGCGATTATCGGCCAAGAGATACGCGGCTGTGACAGTCCAACAAGCAATTACCACGTTTCAACTGGGTAACTGGCGTCCAAACAAAAGTGTAGAAACGACGGCGGCGATGCGATGAGAGGCCCTTTTTTTTTTTCTTGTTTTTGGGGAGGGGATTACAACTTGTTATTGTGGCTGGTGGCTTTTAAGAACCAGCGTTTCCATTCCATCTGCAGCGTGACATTCAAAATGCAAACGAACACCGCAAACCAGTTTCGGATGCGTCCAAGTGAAGGGCTGCTTCTCAGCGCAAACTACAAAAAAAGACATAATAAAAACCAATAATGAAAACAACGACTATCCAAAAACAGGAGTTCGTTGATTGATGATCTGATCTGATCTGATCTGTGGATTCGAGGTGCGTCTGTTCAGTCAGAAGATTATAGTAGACATATCAAAGTTCCCACTTTGACCAAGGTACAGAAACATTCCCCGGGGTTAAATGGCCCCCAAAAGCAGTCAAAAGCACTACAGTGAAACCTCCACTTTGCCAAATAAAAATCCATCTATATTGCCTTTGAATTACATGCACTTATATCGTAAAAGATCTACATAAAGCGTTTTTATTTCGTTTGGAATCATAAAAAGCAATTCACGCGTTTAATTTTGACCGGCACGTTTTTATATACTCAAATAGTTGTTTGTTGTAATTACACACTAAGATAACGAATGTTATTGAAGCTAAGAATATGTATTTAAGTTGTGGAAACATGCCCACGTAAAGAAGGATATTTGCTTCATAAAACCGTCTCAGATTTTCATTTTTTGACTATAACATGGCCAAAATGATACCCAAAAGCGTAACACCAACTGGTTTAAGCAACTGGTGACCCAATTAAAATATGACAATCACTTTCAGGCCGATTTTCAGAAATCCATTATTTTTCAATTTTTTCATTTTCTTTTAAGGTTAAATTTTTGCGAAAAATGCTCAAAATTTTGCATTTCTAGGCTTGAATGCCATTTTGTTGGAAATTTTATTGCCAATTCAACGGTGTATGGCATTCTATATTTGGACAACTATATGGACAACTATATGGACAACGGAATATTTTTGGACTAAAAATTAAAACACGATTTGTTTTATAAAAGCATGAATTCTTTTTTGGCGATTATAGTCATAACTTGCCCGAAAATTATTCCAGAGCAAAAAGAATGACTGTTTTGTGCAGCTAATTACCAAGGCTAACTATCCCAATCACTTTTGTACGGATTTTCAGAAAAAAAAATTTTCGCCATTTTTCGCATTTTCGGTAAGGGGTAACATCATACATTTTTGATAAAAATAGTCAAAATTTTATATTTCTAGGCTTGAATGTCACTTTGTTGGAAATTTCATTACGAATTCAACGGTGTATGATATTCTATATTTGGACAACTATTTTCTTAGTTATGGACAAAAAACTGATTATTTTTGGGCTAAAAATTAGAAAACGATTTTTTTTATAAAATCATGAATTCTTTTTTGGCGATTATAGTCATAACTTGCCCGAAAAGCATCACAAAGCAAAAAGAATGACTGATTTGTGCAGCTAATTACCAAGGCTAACTGTCCCAATCACTTTTGTACGGATTTTCAAAAAAAAAAAATTTCGCCATTTTTCGCATTTTCGGTAAGGGGTAACATCATAAATTTTTGATAAAAATAGTCAAAATTTTACATTTTTAGGCTTGAATGCCACTTTGTTGGAAATTTCATTACGAATTCAACGGTGTATGATATTCTATATTTGGACAACTATTTTCTTAGTTATGGACAAAAAACTGATTATTTTTGGGCTAAAAATTAGAAAACGATTTTTTTTATAAAATCATGAATTCTTTTTTGGCGATTATAGTCATAACTTGCCCGAAAAGCATCACAAAGCAAAAAGAATGACTGATTTGTGCAGCTAATTACCAAGGCTAACTGTCCCAATCATTTTTGTACGGATTTTCACAAAAAAAAAATTTCGCCATTTTTCGCATTTTCGGAAAGGGGTAACATCATAATTTTTTGCGAAAAATCGTGAAAATTTTACATTTCTAGGCTTGAATGCCACTTTGTTGGAAATTTCATTACGAATTCAACGGTGTATGGCATTCTATAATTGGACAACTATTTTCTTAGTTATGGACAAAAAACAATCACTTTTGTACGGATTTTCACAAAAAAAAAATTTCGCCATTTTCGCATTTTCGGAAAGGGGTAACATCATAATTTTTTGCGAAAAATCGTGAAAATTTTACATTTCTAGGCTTGAATGCCACTTTGTTGGAAATTTCATTACGAATTCAACGGTGTATGGCATTCTATATTTGGACAACTATTTTCTTAGTTATGGACAAAAAACAATCACTTTTGTACGGATTTTCACAAAAAAAAAATTTCGCCATTTTTCGCATTTTCGGAAAGGGGTAACATCATCATTTTTTGCGAAAAATTGTCAAAATTTTACATTTCTAGGCTTGAATGCCACTTTGTTGGAAATTTCATTACGAATTCAACGGTGTATGGCATTCCGTGCTAGGACCACTACTTGCATTGCTTTGGACAAGAAACCGCATTTTTTTGGTGGAAAATGTGGAATGGAATGGGTTAAAAGGACTTTTCGTCCTAACTCGACCAAAAAGAGTCGCAGAAGGAAAGCTGTCGAAGATGTTAGCGATGTGTGCCATTCTGCATGTGCACCGTTATTGTCCGGATTTTGGAAAACGCATTTTCGAAGAATTTGCTGGTAGTTCAAAGTAGCAGAAGCTTGACTGTAATCTCAAGCGATTTGATCCGACGTTGATCTCTTTCTGCTGAGTGACAGCTTAAAGCCAAAGTTATAGCGATCTATAAACGGTTTAAGTATATGTACCTTTGTTTTGTTTTTTCTTTTCTGAATTTACTTGGGAGTTGGGTCAATGTACTTGAGGTCTATAAACACGCCGATGGAAGTGAAGTGAGCGAACTGGATTCACTTTTGATTTCGAATTTTGTTTTCGTTTTCTTTGGCACTGGCGCGGCCGAGTGATCGAAAGACTGGCTTATTATGCTACCAAATCAAAAAGAGCCAAAAGCAAAAGCATTGACATTGAAAATTATGCGAACAACGCAGAGGTCCAAAATGTTTCGGTTAAAAAGTAAAAATGAAGAAAAAAAATGACGAAGATGGTGTTTACACTGCGTTACTTGCGTCCACCGACAGATATGTAGAATGGATTGGTGTGGCACGTTACGGGTAATTGATTACCAATTGTTGTCACTTGTCGGTGCGAATTATTAAGGCGAATTGCGATTGATGGGCTCCATAAATAACCATAAATACGATCAAATAACAATTGATCTGGGGGCGAAGCGATTCGCGAGTGGACCGGAGTGACAGCCAAGTTCAAGGGGGCAAGGCTCCGCCTGTGACTTTTCCCAGGGGCGTAGCGCCGCAGGGGGCGGGGCGGTTTCAATAGTTAATCCGAATTAGCAGCACATGTTTCGCCTTTGACTCATTTGGCACTCGAATGCCTAACCAAAGTTCTCACGCTTTACTTGCGTGGAAAAGGGATGGCACTCGGCCGCGCCCCCTTTGGTGGCCGCCCACGCACAGTGGGGCCAAGACAATTGCGCAAGCCACATGCATAAATAATACTTGCTATATAATAGGCGACTGCCAGGTGCCATCATTCATTATTCTCGCGCTTCACCAGCCGCCGAGTGGAGTGGAACGTGATGGGTGCAATGGTTCCTTGGCCCGGCTCAAAAACAATAAAGTATAGTAAGCAAATAGTGGCGTAAGGTGAACGTGCAGCGGGCAGATGGGAGAAGAATCAAGTTGTCTTCACTTTTTCTCCATGTTGACTAATTAACAGTGTTGACCTTCACCTTTTGCGCGCTGGCCAAAAGCAAAGGTGGATGGATGGCAAAGAAGAGAAGCCAAAGAATTGGTAACAAGCTGACGCCTCCTCCGCCTCCGCCTCCTCCTCCTCCTCCTCCTCCTTCTCCACCTTCAACTGACCGACTAAGAAACGGACAAGAAGCGGCGCCGCTCTTCCTGCCTCTTTATCAATTCGTACCATTCGAAAAAGTTGTTTTTATGTTTTTTCCACTTTTTGTTTTGGCTGAGGTTGGGCCGTTGGGGTAGGTCACCAACTGGGGGGTCTCCACCTGCACCCCCCATCCCCCACATACCTTATACTCTTATTTTGCAAATTGTTTTGGCTGCCTTCTTTTTGTATCTGTGCCCACGATCCGTTGTTTTGCGATGCCTTTTGTTTTGATCGTGGGCTTTACAGTGGTGCGCGATAAATAAAAAATAAATAAAAGGCCGCTTTTTAAAAAGCAACTAACGCATAAAAAGTGGTGAGCACTTCTGTATGCCAAAAGAATCATTTGTAATACTCCTTCGTATTTGTAATGTCATACGTCCCATAACTTATCAATAGATCGTCTCCAAATATTTTCAATGAAATACAGTAGCTAATAGGTATATGTTTCCTTCCACTGCACGCGTGGCATAGGAAATCATGGAAATGATAATTTGGAGCATATCAAAGTTGTGATTATCATAACAAAATGCCCAGCTTAGCTATTCATATTCAAGCAGATGATATTGATATAGTGCTTATAGTCTGCTTAAGTCATAGACCCCAGGCCACTGTGCACAGTTATGGATATTTGATTCTGTTTGTGGGCAGAGGTCATACGTATCGCATAAGCGGTCCATAGAAATGCAAAAGCGAGTTGCTAATGATGGCCCACATATCACATACAAACATGCACACATATGCACCATATCGCCTCATTATCGCGCCGTCTGCCCAGCCAAGCAGATCTCGATCTTACACACCGGATCAGTCACGCCCCATCCTTGCTACATACGTACATATATATATATATCCTCTTGTATTTCCGATCTCAGTTGGCGCCATGAGGGAACCGCTGCCCGCGGCGGTGGTGACGGCGATCCTGTTCCTTTGGCTCGGTACGTCGGTGCCGCCGACTTCTGGATCGGCGGTGCTCATCTCCGACATGACCATGAGCGTTATGGTGGAGCTATCCTCGCGACATCCCTTCTGCAAGATGCACACGGATCGGTGAGTCTTCCGCAACGACTGCTTGTAAATAAACCGAGTGAAATAATAAATAAATCTCTTTTATTGGCCGCCAGTGGGGATATCCAGCGCATGCTGCTGCAGTCGGATCCGCGTCGCATACGCCAGGTGCCGCGGGAGTCGGTGATGGAGCTGGAGGAGGTGTGCCGCCGGCAGGGATCGTATGGCCACGAGTTTCGCGGCGGACTGGGCTTCATCTATCCGGGCACCAAGTGGTGTGGGCCGGGCACAGCGGCCACCAGCTACGACGATCTGGGTGCGCACGCTCGCGAGGATCGCTGCTGTCGCGAGCACGACATGTGTCCGGATGTGCTCAATGTGGGCGAATGCAGGCGGGGATTGTGCAATCGCGGCACCTTCACGAGAAGCCACTGCGATTGTGATGCCCGGTTCAGGCGATGCTTGCAGGCGGCGAACACGGAGACGGCCAACACGCTGGGCGCCATCTTCTACAATGTGGTGCAGGTGACGTGCTTCCAGGAGCGAAGTCCCTGCTCGGCACACCAGAGGTTCGAGGACTTCTACTACCGCACCGATCACTGTCCGGCGGAATTCCGGCAGGCGGATCTCTATGTGCCGCCGCACGGCGACAATCTGATAGCCAAGATCCTGGCCCATCCGCAGGGCCGGGCCCTGGCCGCTCCGGCCTGGACGATACCCGCCAAGACGACGGCGCGCCGTTGGGGCGTCAAATTGGCCAGCGTTGGCTTGGCGGCGGTGAACATCCTGCGGGAGGTGGTGCAGCGACCCCGACTCCTGTGGGATAGCCTGCAGGCGCCGGTCTCCAGGGAGCTGCCACCACCGCAACGGTATCAGGATGCGGGCTATCACTACCAGCGACCAGGACCCGGCTCCGCCTACGGATATGGCCCTTACAGTGGTCGCGGTTACGGGGGCTTCGACTCGCCTTGGAGCTAACTGCCCTCGAATCACGAATGCCCCCGACGAAGACTGTTCCGAGCGGTTGGGTGGAGTCCAGTGGCGACGGCCAGTATGTGTGCTTCGGATGGCGAGTAATCCACAGAGAGTCTAGGCAGGATTGGGCAAGATGCATTGCCCAACAACTTGAGTTGCCAAAGAAAATATCGTTCACTTCCGTCCAAACGTGTGTTTCCAGTTGATGGGCACGAAATCCGTCTTCATCCTGTTTTATATTCTGCTAAAGTTTCGTTCTTATACATAGGTACTTGTTATTCTGGAAAAGTTCCACTATCACAGCTCTACCATCGAAACGTGGGAAGAGAATGCGTCGCATACGCATGTTAATTGCATACTTTAAATGGGGTTTTATCTGTAAGATACCCACTTGTGAGTCATTAAGTGTAAAGTGGTAGGCTTTAAGGAAGCCAGAACGGCTGATTGACGTGGGAGGCATTTCAGCAGGACTTACCATAGTCAGAATCATATTTTTATATAGAATTTTGAAGTAATACTCTAAGCACGTGAAGATTACTCGCCCGCCCGCGCAGTTACTTGCCAGGCCAAGGACATTCAACCGCCCAACTGCTCCCGTTTAGTATTAGTAGTCGTAAGTTGCAGTTCCGGCTCCGCTAGGGAGTCCTGCCAATCCTAGCCACTTAGCTGCATGTGTGATTGCCAGTAACGTTGTGCATGTACCTAGTTGTTGTCACTAGTTGAGCCAGTTGTTCACCATAGACAGTGTTTGCTGTAGAAATAAACTCACTGAGAATCGCATGCCTGCGCTCTTCCTTTCCGGTAAATGAATTCGATTAGAGCCGGATACAATCAAACGGAACAGGAGGCCATCTGCGCCCAGTGGCAGTACCAGCCATCGGAGAAGTACGTGCCCAGCCAGCCGAGAACCTCCTCCTAGGCAGGAGGGCCTCCACGTTGACGACCTGGACCAGCCCATGGACGCATGGATATAGTTATCCACGATTGCCATTCTTAATACTGATCAGGAACCTGAACGAAAGCCAAAGATCGAAACTAGATGGGAAAATATATCCACATATATATTTTCATATATTGAATGCATACAAAACAGATCTATACCTGTATACATATATGTATATATATACACACAGAAACGTACATATAAATAAATATATTTACCAAGGTCAGAGCAGCTGCGTTTTTTTCTCGCGCCCAAAAGTATTGACTTCTTGGAGCTTCGAATGGTTCGCCTTGCATATTTTTGGGATGAGGGTGTTATCAACAATATGCGGTATGTTATCATACTAAATAGTGAACTAAACCAGTGAATTACCCAATAAACAGTGCATTTTGTTATCCATCTTGGTCTTATCCTTAAAAAGAAACTTCCTATTCGGCTTTATTTGTCTGAGCTCTTCTCATTCTTGTTGTTAACTTTTCGCGTCGTTTACAAAAAATAAAAAATTATCTCTAATCCAGTTGGTTTTTTTGTGTATGGGGATGCGGAAACGACGGCTAATTTCCCAAAATCATATGCCTACAGTTCGATCTATCCAGGCAAACTTTGCAAACTCAAAACCATCATCGATAAAAAAGGATGGGAAAATGGGATGGTGAGGCTGGAGCTTTCTCAGCTGCTCCTTTAGGCACGCAGGGCCACAAACTGTTGGAACACCTCCAAGATGTGTGTGTCCAGGTCGGATGTGAATAGCAGCGTTTCCAGTGTGCTGCTGTACTTCTGAACTTGCTCATGATGCTGCAAGAGGAATGTGGAAATGGAGTACAGGGTGTGAACACTTGCGAGAAGGCCACCTACCATAAGGAAGACCTGCTGCAGTCGTCCAATTGTCCAGCGATACCAGTCCGTGTCCGGATCCCGGCCGTCCGTATCGGAGCGCAGCAGATGCTCGGAGAGAATCATGATGAATCTCTGGAAGACGATGAGAAACAGTCGCTTCTGGTTCACATTCGCCGCCTCCAATTTCTCCTCCATGCGCTCAACCACCTGGAAATGATGATGAAATTGGTTCGTTTTCGTTTTCGTTTTCGTTCGCGATTGCGAGGCTAATTGGTGGACTCACCTCCTCGGATGGCTTGTCAGCGTGTGTGATGGGCTTTTTCCGCTTGTGCGAGGAATCGTCCTCCGAATCGCTGGACGAAGAGTCCGCCTTCGCAAGCTTGTCCTTGGCCTCGCTCAATTCGGAATCTAAAGGTGTAATTACCAGGTCAGCTTACATTTCTCAACGCAGATATAAAAACGCAGATTTCGAAACTCACTCAGCTTGATGACGTGCTTGTTCATCTTCTTGATCGTCAGATGGAGAATTTCCCAGAGATACATTTTCGTGAACTCGCCGGTCATCTCCTTGGAGAAGATCCACGTGGCCACCGCCGAGCAGTCGACGATCTGGAGCTTGAGCAGCTTGTCGATTAGGACCACCATCATTTGCTGGTGCGAGGACCACAGCTCGTAGATGTTGTGCAGGATGCAGATCTGCGCCTCCTCCGTTTCGGCCAGGGCGCGGAAAACCGAATGGAACTTGGAAATGGCCGCAAAGCTGTGCGAGAACGACTTCGAGCCCAAGTTCAGCAACGTCTGAACGAACACATCGATCTTCAGGGCGTTGAAGCTGCCGTCGGACATCTCCTCGCCGCTGTAGCCGCTGCTCGGTATGTCCTTCAGTATGGTGACCACCTCCTCGGGCGTGCACTTCTGCCGGATGGCCACCACCAGTTGATGCGCCACCGCTGTTCCCGGCAAGTTGGCTGTTTGTTTGCGGAGGCGAAAGGCAGCGAGTTTTGAGTGAGGAAATGATTGAGATAATTTGTTTGCTTGCCCTGCTTCCCTGTGCTTTTTGCGGGTATATCAGCTCTCTTTAATTACAAGAACGTTATCTATCAAGAGCACTAAACGTGTTTTTATTTCTCTGCTACTGCTATCCCCTTCTAATTCAATTCCCAGACATGGGCTTGCGTTAATGGGCACTTGCTCGTCGTTAGACTTGTTGGCAAATGCGATTGCCGTTGCTCCTAGTTAGGTGACACTTTCGTTGCAATTCGCATTTCATTGCTTGGTTATGTGGCTCATGGCGTGGAACCAAGCGGCACCACTCCACATCCACCACGCATCCAAAAAGCCAAACAAACAGCCAGTAAATCCAAGCTCTGCTTGGTGCGTTACTAATGACGGTTGTGCTCCAGCTCAGCCAGATCCCCGCCAGCTACCCGATTACGTGCAGTTTATTGGCACTTGCGTCGCCGATGTCAAAGTGGAGTTCGCTTGGGTAGGGTTCCCAGTCGTGGAACGGAGCAGCTAATTATGCGGCCGTCTGGCAAGCCAATGTATTGGCAAATAGGCGATTTATTGCGCTCATTTGGTGGCAATTTGTGCCAAAACACAATGTGCTAGGAAATATAAAGATATGTCAGCATTCTACCTCAACGCATCTACGTATTGTACCTTACTAGCCAGCCAGCTCTAACCTTTGGCTCAGAAGAGCTTGGCCAAGAGCTGCAACGCTCTGTAGACAATGTCAATGGTTTGGGAGTTTCGGATGTGTCAAGACCATGCGGTGCTTTTTGTTCACCTGGCAGTGGAAAAGTTCGCACATATCGGGGACTGCAAACAAGCACAACCGAATAACAAACAAGTCATCGCCCACAAATAACATCACTTAATAGTCGGAATTAAAGATGCTTTCACGGGAATCTGGCTTTCAGCGCAAATTGAGCGTATCGATGAGGAGGGGGCAGCACTTTCGTGCACTCGGTTAGAGTTCAATGCTGATGGGCGGGCATGTGTCTTATCCGCCGGGTCATCTCGCGTTGGGATCCGTGACAGGAAAGACAGAGAACTCCGGCAAGGTGAAATCGCCAGAGGAGCCACAAGGGCCACCAGAGCCGGAATGAGCGATTCCGAGCGGAGGAGGGGCAACGCTTGGCATCGTTGAAAGGGAAACTCCAGCCAAGCGAACCACCACTCATATCTCAATGGAAATCTAAGCCAAAGTTTGGGCCTAAATGGAGGCTATAGCCAAAATGAAATCACAATCAAGAAGCCCAGAACGATCTATGGCAGTGTAGTGGAACTGCCTATACCCTACGTGATTATCAATGAGAATCAAAAGGAATACAACAATGTGTTCATAATGTTCTGTAATAGCCTTTATGTCAAGGAGAATCGCTACCAACTGTGGTAGTCAACGACCACCACTGCTGGGCAGGGTATCCAGCCGCGCTCCACATCCACACACATGTCTTGGATGCCAGTGCGCCGCCCGCCCATCGAGGGTGTTGCATAAACGACGCCCGCGACGGCTGCGATGCTTCTCCAACTTCTCGGGGCTGTGGACTACACTAAGCTATGCAAAAAGCCGAGGAAAAACGATGAAACCCATATGTGTGTGTGGCATTAGATTGCGCAAAGAGCCTCCGCCGGCGGCAACGCATCGCTTGGCTGCCCCAACGAAAGCAGCTTAGATGGATGAAGTTGGCTGATGGCCACAGAAGCTAACGGAGCCAACGAAGCTACAGAAGCCACCGTCGATTACTAGCGAGCGCAACTGGCGGACGCGTTTCAGTCGCTTCTGCGCGCGCGCGCACTTCAAACGCATCTTGGAAAATCGCTGGCGCATTCGTTTTGTGACTTCTTTTTGTTTTGTGACCATTATTTATTTTGATTTGCCCACCAGCTAGACAATGAGGAATCTCTGCTGGCTACTGGCTGTTCCCATCGCAATCGTAAGTTGAAGGGGAAAGCATCCACAAGTGACCGCGTTTGGATACGATGCTCCTAGTTTGGATACGATGTGAATTTAGTAAATCAACGAGCAAGTTACTGAGCTACTTGCTTGCTACTTTGATTGAATGTATATCCTCTAGCCGAGTGCATTGCCTTGTATGCTTTCTTGCAGCTGCCCTTGGGCTGTGCCATTGTGGGTGCAGGTCGCGATCTCCTGCTGACGCCGAAGCAAGGACACCAGCTGAGTGGCAAGCGCATCTTCTACGAGGAGCCGACGGAGGAAAGGGTCCTGGATCAGCGGCGCAGTTCGTCGGAGCGTCCTTGGGAGCGGACATTGAAGCACGTCACTTACGTGACCCTCTTCACGGATGCGGCCGTGGGCGCAGCAGCTGGAAATCTAAGGTAGGCTGGCCAGCTTGGCGCCGCAAACCCTTTTCTACGCTCATGGTAATCTTGTCAAGTTGATGCTCGGGCAGCCAGCTGCACGGGTATCACGACTTCCTGCAGACACCATATGTGCTGGCGGATGAGCAGAGAGGAGCGCCATCCGCGCGCTTTGGCGACATCATGACTCTGGCCAGGGGCTATTTGGAACAGCTGCCAGGAGCAGCTGCCAACGGATCCTATCGCTTCGTGGAGGGCGGCACGTGTTTCCAACTCAATTGCCCCACCTCGAATAGCAAGCAGCGACGGGCGTTGTGGCAGGTGCAGCGCATCCGTCATCGGGACGGGGACAAGGGTCGTCACTACCACTACGAGATGAAGTTCAGTGTGACACCGCTGGACCACACGGCCTGGCAGCCGCATCACCACCAGATGAGCTACATCCAAAAGGAGTCCGACTATCCGCGAAGCTTCGGGCGTTTGGCGCACGACCAGGATTTCGCCCAGCGCCGTCAGGATAGGGAGAGATATGGCGCTGCAGCCGGTGGAAGCGGTGGAAACGGTGGAAACGCGGAGCAGTCGCAGGCCACCTTTGTCCATGGCATTTTTCAGCCAGCTCCGCCGCCAAAACTCAACATTGGTGAGTATTTGAAGGGCGCTGTGGCGCAAGGCAGTCCAAAAATCGAGCTGTTTCCGGGACTGCTCAATCTGGGACTGCGCCCCAATTATGTCGTCCCGACTACTTTTCGTCCGAGCTATCCGGCTGCGCTGAAATTTGGCCCTCATCCGGAATTGGAAAGATTCCCAAGCCACAACAGTGAATTGGGCAGTGTGGGTCATGTTGGAAATGTTGCTTCTGCGGCCCCTGGGGAATTGGCATCCATTCCGGGCGCCATAACCCATCATTTCCATCATCATTTCTATGTGGCACCTGGTGCCGGCGATGCCCAACTGCATCCGGAGTTGGGCTACCGATTGCCAAGCTCCTCGCCTCCTGAACCAGCCCCACCGGCTGGCAATACAGCCTCAAACTTATATGCCCACCATCAGACAGTGCAGTTTCCCAGCTCCAATTCGGGTTCTACGGAATCTCTGGAGGAACAGGAGCAGGATTTGCTGTTGCGCGCACCCCAAATTTATGGGCAGGCATCCAAATATCAAACAGCCAAGCTGCCACCCTTGCTTATCTATGCGGCCGGCAGTGCTGGCGATGAGGACAAGTCCTTTGTGCAAAGCGAACCGCTGGAGGAGACCGTCTATCGCTATTCCGAGCCGGATCCCTTATATGTGCACCAGAACCCCATCGATGTGCTGCAGGATAAGCAGCCGCAGGATGGGGAAACCGCGAAGGGACAGCATCACGTGCAGGACAGGGACCAAAAGCGAGGGGAACAGCGGCCAGCGGTCAGCTTGGAGCAACCGGAACCGACCACAACCGTAGCGGCAACCACCCCAGCAGCGCCATCCCTCAGCGCCACAACCACTGAGACTGCGAGTACTGAGAGATCCACACACGTCGTCCCCACTACGAGTGCCAGTTTTGTGTCCACCTCCACGCACTTCAGTCCGTTGCGCTCCATTAGTAGGTATCGCACCACGCCAAAGATAACAGCTGGACGATCCACCACAACCACTACATCCACCAGCACGGAACCGCCGCTGAGTAAGTGGGCCAAGCGTCGAAAGGAGCAGGACAGCAAGGCCAAGAGCAGTCATCGCCACGAAGCCTTCGTTAGCACCACTTCGTCAACCACCACCACCACCACCACCACCACTAGCAGTAGCAGCAGCAGCAGCACCAGCACCACAACTTCCACCACGCAAACTCCGCCGTCCACAACCGCTGCATCCGCTCGTGTTCCATTGGCGCCGCCACTGCCGCCGGCACCTCCCAAGGAAGTGGTGGAGGTGCTCACCCAGAAATCGGTCAGTCGATCCGTTAGCATCAAGGTGGGCGAGAACGGCGAGGAGATACCCATCATTGTGGACGACGAGGAGAACGAGGTGAAGCCAGTGCTGAATAATTAGCCTACCCTATCGAACCTAAAATCCTAATTATCCCATATGTAAGCCTAGTCGTAAGCAGACATAATCGCACAATAAATTCAAGTAATCCGTACGGCAAGGGGCGAGACTCACCTGCCTCCTCGTTGGCGTACTTGTAATTGGGCACGGGCGTCAAGGGTATTAGCTTGGCGTAAGTCGTTGGCATCATTTCCGTGATGCGCTGATGATACGAAAGGCTGCCGATGAAAATGTTGTTAGGAATCAATGGATTGTATACAGACGGGGGTATAACCTACCGTAGGCACTTCTGCAGCACCTCCTGGATGAATTTTGGACGCGGATGCTCGCCGTCGAGGAGCAGACAGCTGTCCCACTCGTCCCACGACCATGTGAACTTAAAGTTGCTCAGGTGATAGGAGAACCAATTGACGAACCGGTCGAAGCATGACGTGTTCATCGAATCGATGCGCATGAACAGGATCTCGGTGGCCTGGGCCAGAACCTGAGGCAGCGTGGCCGGCTGCAGTTTGCAGAGTTCAATCAGAATGGAGCCGTAGCAGATATCCAGATAGCGCGGCGTGGGCATGTGGAAGAGCTCGGCGAAGATCACCTCGACGATGCAGTACTCCAGCGGTATCTTGTGCTTGAACGGAAAGCTGAGCAGCTGGGCGGCGCAGTCCTTCCGCTCGTGATGGTACGTTTCAATGATATGATGCAGATGCTCCTCAATCAAAAACCGCTCTATTGAATGGGCACCCGGCAGGTTGGGCCCATCGGGGCAGTCGGTGTAGTCGAACATACGATACACCACCCAGGGCATGGGATACTCAAAGTTGTCGTGATGCGGCGGCGGCACAATCGCGGGCAGATTGTGCTGCAGTGCCTCGCAAAGTATCGAATCGAATACGAGGTAGGGCCGTGGTATATGCTTCTCCGCCCAATTGTCCTGCCGCAACTTGCGTATCTGCGCCCACAGGCAGTCCAAGTACTCCTCCTGCGGATGCGGCGCGTCCGAGGACCACACCCGCAGCGCATTGTGGTGCTTCTTAGAGCGTTTGTTTAGATAGACCTCGATCCTAAGCAACAAGGACTCCAGGGCAGACTCCTTCTTTTCGTAGAGATCGCGACCCACCCAGGGCAGCGTGGAGAGCACAGCAAAGACGAACCAATCGCGACGCACCTGGGGCACAGTATCCTCGTTGGATACATCGATCATGGTGTCCAGCAGTTGGAGCAGACTGGTGGCCGAGATGACGTGGCAATTGACCAGGTCGGCCAGGAAGCGCAGCGAGTAGCGGGCGGCATCCCAGCGGCACATCTTGAGCGACTCCTTGAACGTCTTCACCATGTGATCCACGAACTCGCCACCAAACTTGTAGTTCTTGGCATTAAGCAGGCCCACCAAGGTGGTGTACACGGTACACTTCTCTGGCATTCGCACGGCGCAATCGGACAGGATGCGCAGGATCTTTAGGCGAAATGTGCCCAGATCGGCCTCCAGAACGGAGACGAGGCCCTCCAGGTTCGATTCCACCGAAGAGGTGCTCCGCTCGCCCACCCGCAGGATCAGCGACTCCAGACGATCCTCAATCTCCTGGTTCTCCGACACACGTCTACGCTTGTTGCGCCGGTGATCTGCAAGCAATATACATACATATCCCTTTAGAACTCCGCATGACTGATTACATCGATGCCCACTTACCATAGCTCTCATCCTCCGTGTCGTGAGCCCTCCTGCGACTCATCTTCCCGTGAATTTGGTGCGAATTTCAGAAAAAGACACCGAGCTGCGTTGTTCCTTAGCCACCGGCACACACAAAAGCACGCTGGTGGGGACACCTCTTGACCTGGACTTTGCCGGGGATCCTGGACAGGATTCGGTTGACTGGTAAGTCTTGCCGCTGCGCCTAGTCTGCCACTGCGAGCGTCAATTAACTTGCCAACTTTCGAAACAGCAATGTCACAATTTTTCACAAAAAACGCGATGCGATGCTTTTTTTTTTTGTTGGCCAAAGAACTAGAGATGTGCCGCCATCATTTGCCGAGCATATCGAGCATATCGATAACAGCGTCAGCGGCGACAACGCAAATTGAAATGGGTGCAAATTGAAAATGGGTAACTGTTTCCTTGCAGCAATATGCAAAGAATTCATCCAATTCGTCCTGGGATTATCGTGGCGTAGTCAATTGGCTAATAAATCGAAACTCACCCAGAAGTAAAATAATTTGTAAAATAACCAACAGTGTGTTGAACGTCACTGCAATAAACTATCGATAGAAACGCTGCAGTGCATGAAACAAACCTTTGTTCCCGCCGATCGGGAGTTCCACCGCACTCGAAAGATGAGCTATATACCCCTGCTGTCGCTGTGCCTTATCCTGCTGGCGATCCTGCCGCAGCCCCTCCAGTCGCTGGAGCCCCTGTCCATGGGTATCATTGGCCTCGGCGCTATGGGCTTCGGTGCATACTTCAAGGAATATACATATTGCAAGTTTACCGAGTGCTGCGATGACCGAAGTATTCCGGCACGGATAGACCGTGAGTGAAATATAGACACCTCTGATTTCCAGACACCAATGACAATCATGCGGGCATTGCAGTATTAAAAAGGTCACTGGACGAAACCCTCATTGGCCAGCACATTGTGAAGCAGCACGTCGTATCGGCTCTGAAGGCGCACATCAATGCGAACAGCAAGTCCCGGAAGCCGCTGGTCATCAGCTTTCACGGACAGCCCGGTACGGGCAAGAATTTTGTGTCGGAGCAGATAGCGGATGCCTTGTATTTGTTGGGCTCCAAGTCGAGTTATGTAACCAAGTATCTCGGACAGGCGGACTTTCCCAATCAAAGTATGGTGGACGCCTATAAAAATAGAATCAATATTGAGGTGCGCAACAGCTTGCGCCGCTGCCCGAGATCCTTGTTCATCTTCGACGAGGTGGATAAGATGCCCAGCGGCGTCTTCGATACGCTCACCTCGCTGGTGGACTACAACGCCTTTGTGGATGGCACGGATAACACAAAGGCCATCTTTATCTTCCTCTCGAATACGGCGGGCAGCCATATAGCCGGACATCTGGGCAGTGTAATGATGAATGGTATGCTGCGGGAGGACACACGCCTGAGTGACTTTGAGCCCTTGTTGATGAAGGCCGCCTACAACATGGATGGCGGTCTAAGGAGGACCACCATGATCGAGTCCCACGTTATCGATCATTACATTCCGTTTCTTCCGATGGAGAAGGGGCATGTGGTCAAGTGTCTGGAGGCGGAGTTCTATAGGTTGAATCACAATCCCGAACGAACTGAAAACCAGAAAATCATCGAGGATATCATAAGCTCCTCGATTAGTTACGATCGCACGCACGGCTTGTTTGCCATTTCAGGTTGCAAGACGCTGGAGAAGAAGGTTTCCATGGCCATTAACTGAGAAAGGGCCGACCGCCATTACTTGTAAGACGTACTTCAAATGTGGCTTTATATTGTAAAACTATTTTTCGTAATAAATCGAACAAAAATTAACTACCAAGGATTTAGCCACTTGAGGCGGGCATCTTTACGCAGCAGCTCGGTATCCAGTCGCTTGGGCTGCTCGTCGTAAACCTGGCGAGCCGCCAGACGGGTATCGATGGGTCCCAGGTCCTTGGTAACCAGGCACTCTCCGTTCTCCTTGAGTATCGTATGCCGGACATCCTGGGCAGTGGGCTCTCCGTAGGGAAACGTGACTGGCGTAACCTTAACCAGGTGCTTGATCTTCCACAGGCGGGCATTGTTCTCCGGTATGTTTTTGACCACAGTAAAGTCGCTCTGCTTTCCATCGAGTCCCAGATCCTTGAGGATTCGCTTCTCCCAGTAGGGATTGCCCTTCACCGGCTTAATGCGCTGCACCCGGAAAAGTTTCGCCGGCTCCACAGGTGGATCCTGATGATCGGGGTTCCTGAGCCGTACAGATTTGGCATTAATAAATGCGGCGTTTCTTGTGTTTTTCTCCACATATATGTGAATACGCACCTGGGATAGTAGGTGATTCCCTCGAATTTCTGGCCATTTTTGTAGAGGAACTTCTTATTGTGCTTTCCGTAACTGCGCACTGACCATGTGCTGCTCCTCAGTGGATTCAGCAGCCTTCCCAGGTTCATCTTAATTTATTATTTTGTACTTTTTAATGTAGAAATAAAATGCAAAACGCTTATGAAATAATTGGTTTTACCCTGCCGATAACGATCACACAGACCATCTGGTTAAACAGTTACCTATCGATGGGCAGCATGGACACTGCTGTTAGGGAACCAATGTTAACCGCTTGCTGTTAACCGATACTATTCAAATCCAAAGGCGGCTGAGATAGAGGAGATAATTTATCATAGAAAGCGAAAACATTATCAATACCATGATTATACATATTCATTTTTTTATAAAATATTTCATGTACTGTTAGAGAAAAGCTCAACATGTGAAATCACACGAACAAAGGTTTTGTTTCAGTTCATTGCTCGTCAGAATGCACAGCATCCAGGGGATGATATACACTTCGAGAAAGGGGCGGTCTTAAGTCAAGCACTCCGCCATTTTGTCAGCTACAATTGGCGCTCATCAACGAGGGTGGTTAACTTGGCATTGGTTGGTATCCTTCGAAATAGGGTTGCTTCCGATTTCGGTTATAAAGGAGGCTGCAGCTTCCTGACCGGAAGTCAGTTCCATGTGCGCAGCCATCCGGCGAGCATCCGAATCCAGATATCTTTCCGTCAATTCAAGGATCTAGGATTACACTACACCTGTGAGTTGCTGTAAGTTCAGGTTACAGGGCGCAGCAAAAAGTGGCACAGCAAAAGTTGCAAGCAAGTTAAGTGAAGTGAAAGCAAATATGGGAAGACAACTATTGAAACAAAATCCAATTAAAGATACAAATGCTTTAGTTGAGTCTCATTTAAACATGTTCTACTACTTGCGGCATGTAAAATGACCACCGACAATTTCTTAATTACTAATCTTGACTATGGTCACATGTGCACGTGACATAAGCACAGCAGTTTCAAAGTCTACAGGGGATTTGGGGTGTAATGCGCCCGATAGAAAAGTTCTTCAAACTAGATCAGATTTCCATCCTCCCAAGGGATCAATAGTCACGTCTTCGACTTGCTGCACTTGGTGCGACTTTCCGAAAGCAAAAAAGAGGCAAAACCCATTAAATCAATAGATGTAAAATCATACGTAAGCCGCAGACATGGTTCACAAGGGTGCCCAAGTTGAGGGGTTACAACCTCTGAGGTTCGCCAACTCCCGCGGGCAAATAAACGTGCCGATTGTTCAGCTATTTGTGTAGGTGTGAAAATATGCTGCGAATAAACAATTGGCACAATGCCAGCATGAGTACACTAAGTACAATAAAAATAAATGAAAATAATAGCAAACGCAAACAGTATGTACCGAAAGGGGTGTGTCCTGCGAAGAGGACGACACACTCGCACAGCACCCTTCATCACAAATGTCCACAAATGAACCATAAATAATGCGAGTGGCGAATTATTTGATTTGAGGGCTTTCGACTGCAAGGGTTATGATTTCTTCGCCGCCTATTGTATTTCCTTGTCAATGGTGTGGTGTGCTCCATCTTAAAGGATACAGTAATGTGAGGTTTTGTCCCCACTTTCCGAACTTTATACACTCTTCAACTCGCTCAAACCCTCAATTTGAATACACTTTGCAAGGGGTTGCATCACTCCAATTGAACAAAAGTAATATCTAGTTGTACTGACCTCATATCCATTTGCAGCACTCAGTCCAGCCACAAATCAGAGCTGCACTTAGCCGGAGGATGGTCTACGATATGAGCCACATGGCGGCGGGTCCGCCGCAGAGCATTTCGCTGAGTCGCTACTACCTGGCCGATGAGGATGAGATGGTGGGGCCGAATAATCCGCATCTGGTCAACGAGGACTACGCGGCCAGTACGACGCTGGACATCGATAAGCGTTTCCAGGCGCGAATGGCCTGTGAAACGGCCGCCCAGCCGGCGCCCCCGCCACCGCCCACGCCGGCGCCACGTCGCCGGACCACGCCCATCGCCCACCTGGATCCCTCGGAGCTGGTGGGCCTCTCGCGGGAGGAGAGGCGGCGTCGCAGGAGGGCCACACTCAAGTACCGGACGGCCCATGCGACGAGGGAGCGAATCCGCGTGGAGGCCTTCAATGTCTCCTTCGCCGAGCTGCGCAAGCTGCTGCCCACTCTGCCGCCGGACAAGAAGCTGTCGAAGATCGAGATCCTTAAGCTGGCCATCTGCTACATTGCCTATCTGAATCACGTGCTGGAGACGCCCTGAGACAGCGCCGGCGCCTCCAGCTTCGCCACCAGTTGCCTCTTCAACGAGGCCAATTTCTTCGCCCCCCCGTAGGAGGTGGGGGGGCGTGGCGCCCGGACTTAGGGGGCGTGGCCGGAAAGGCCGCTAGCATCAGGCCACATCAGAGGAAACGCACTTCGCCCAGCTCAGCAATCCGCCGGCTGCTCCATTGGATAAGTCGCCACGGACTCACCAACCGCAGTGCTCGATGGACTTTGCCACTTTGCTAACCTTTGGTTAAATGAAACATGCACTTTTATGTCACTTGACCACTGTTGACAGACAAATGAGCCACTGCGCTGTGTCGTGGTGATTTTTGCTTTGTTTTTGGCTTGGGTTTTGTTTTCTTAGAAACAGTTGTACAGCCACGATTTAACCTAAGGTTAAAATACATATTTCCATACCTAATATGTGAAGTGTAAGGTGGCCAACTATTAGGCAATTCAGATAGATGGTGAACTAACTTAAGTTCATGTTGTACAATCGCACTACTCGCACTACTCGCACTATAGTTTGTGTAATTGAAACGAAGTAGAAACATGGTATTAACAAAGTCTAACCAAATGTAAACACTAAAAACTAAATAAGCCTAAAGATTTCAAGTAGTCATAGCACTAGATTTATGAGAAAGCAGAAAAAAACCTAGACCCTGGGTTATAACCAAAAAATTCTTAGACTAAGATACATTTTTTTTGTCTAGCCCCTAAGTCGTGATATTTGTTTATACTCAGACGATAAATATACGTACTGCATAGTAATTGGAATGAAATGCTTGTTCATGGGGCTATTTGGTGTATTTTTGCGCTTTTCCGTGGCAACTTCAACGCGAAACTCCCCTGGACTTTTTGGACCACAGCTGCTGGGACCGAGTTTTCCATTTGTCTGAACGCTTTGCTCGGAAAAGCCAGATGCTAACCGAACCCCATCAAAAGCCCCCTCTCTCTCACACAAAGTGGGCGTGTCCTTTGCGCCAAGCCCCGCCCACTTATGTGTAAGAGAGCAGTACAGCAGTCTCTGCCCCAATTTTCAGAAGTTAAATATACGTTTTTTAAACACAGATAGGCTCACAAAAATTTGGACTTTTGTGCAAAATTGAAAATGGCCCTTAGTTTTAGCGCACAGCAGGTGAGCAAGTAGATACATTTTATTCGGTTGGGAGGCTGTTTTCAATATCCATAAATAACGGCCTAGTTTGGTTGGTACGGGTAACGTATATGCATATATGCATATACATATATATGGATCCATGGATGTAACCATTTTCGCAACGAGCATAACAATAATAACAACAAACGTGGCAATGGCAACCAAGCGTTTCTGTCCTTCTCTGTCCTGTGAAAAAGGGCTCCTGCATTCCGACAGTCGTCGGTTTGCAGCTGTATGGGTGCTATTCGTATGGGTGTGGGTGTACGGGTGTCCGTAAACAAAGACAACGGCCAGGCGACATGGAAGTTGGCTTCAATTTAAGTGGTAGCATGTTTTGGTTGCATCTTTTATTTTATAGTTTTTACTCAAAAATCATTCTACTCGTAGACATATTTTTTTTTTGTATATATTTTAAATTAGCTCGTTTTAATAGCTTCGTTTTCTTTGCTTGAACTTCAGCTTTTGGCAAATTTGTTTCGTTTCGAGCCAGTTTGTTGTTCTTTTGAACAACAACTTTCTTGTTTTCGAGTGTCGTACACAACCCGTAACCGTTACCGCTTCGTAACCGCTACGTTACCGTTACCGTTACCGCAACCGTTTCATGTCGCTCCGCCTCTCCGTTTTCCCCCGTGCAAAGACCCCCCGACCACCGCCCACCGCCCGCCGCCCACCGCTTTGCACATTTGCACAAATAGCGACAGTTAAAGTTTATTTACTTGGTAACGGTTACTTTGGACCAGACCTTTGCCACGCAACTCGTTTTTGGAGTCCACAGCTATTCGCCATATACACACACAATCGCAACGGAATCGGTTAACTGCGGAGGTGGCGGAATTTCGAAAAACGCTGTTCCAAGTTGCACTATTGAGAATCAATTCGAGCGCAGCCCGTTAATGATTATCCCATTTGGGCGAACTAAATTGAAATTGGAAAAAGCGGGTGCAGGAGCAGAATCCACAGGATACGCAACTTTGGACCAAAGGACAGTCGGCGGCAGAGCGTGAAATTAGCTTAAGTGCTTGTCGCCTCGACCAGGACACACAGGGATACGAGTATAAAAAGTATGCAAGTATAAAAGTGGAAATGTAGACAAGTACCTTCGGGAGGGCAGCCCAACCCCATCGCCTGCCAGAAGCATCGATTCATCCTTGCACGTGTTTGCCAACTAGCTTTTTGACTGTCTAATCCTGCGGATGTGAGTGCAAGGACACCATGTGATAAATTGCACCCCAGAGGGTTGCCATAAAAATCATCGCTTCACCCGGTAGGGGTGACCACCTCATCCAAGGGCTGCACCACTATCTGTCTATCTGTCTAACTGTCTAACTGTCTAGCTGTGTATATCTATTGTGCGCTGCCCATAGATACCACACCGTCCATCTGGGCCAAGTGCCTGTGAGCTCCTTTGTTGCTAATTGAGTTTAAAATCAATTTGTATTTTTCACGCCGCAATTTGCTCGAGCGCACTGCCATATTGCGTAATTGCCGTGCAAATTTAATTACAGTGCCGATGCGGTAAGCTGGTGACCAACAGCCACGCGCTGCGAACGTGCGTCCTCGCCACACCCACTCACCCAAGTCAGCACCCACTCCATCCATCGATCAAGGCCTCAATCAAGTGGTGACAACCCAGCGCTCCGCGTATCGAGTTACCAGCGGCGGTCCATTTGCATTCCTTAATTGAAATCCGTCCGCGTGGGAAGACTACGCGACAAAATGGAAACCATTCCTGGATCCCCAGTCCTTCATCTCAGAGGAGCACTATATACGCCATCGCACAGCTCGAAAGCTGCGGGCAAAATGGAAACCATTCCTGGATCTCCAGTCCTTCATCTCAGAGGAGCACAGGTCTTGCTGATGTGGCATAGTGTTCATATGCCCATTTCACCAGTAATATCCATGCCCAATTATGCCAAGTAGTTGCCACCGATTGCAGGCATATTGCCGGGCTCACTGGCGACATTTCCGGCATCTCCAGTGCCCGCTCAGGGGTAATCCCGCCGAGAAATGATAAATGAGCCGGGCTTAGAGATCACTGGCTTGGTTTTTTAGCGCGCAGCCAAGTTGGCAAAGCTTCGAAAGGCAAACACAAACAAGGCATTAAGTGGGCATTAGACAAATGCCTTTCTACACATGTTCCGGCGCAGAGATTACGCCGTGTAATTGCACCCACCTCCCTTTGCGTTCGGGGTGGCTTCCGGTTCTCGATGGCATTTGGGGTGGGCTTCATTTCTCTTTCTCTTGTTTTTTTTATCAATTGCCTTGTTTGCGCCGGGACCATAAATAAAGGAATTACTCCAAGGGGCGAGCGGGTTTTCCTAACAGGTGTCTATCTACTGCCGGCTAATCCCGCCCAGATCCTCACTGCTGTAGCCCTGCATCCCACTCATTTCGTTGCAGTTCGAGGGCCGATTCCAGTCGAAGCGGCTCAACAACTGGGAGTACCCGCGATTCTCGCCACCCCGTCCACGTGGACTGCTCAAGAACGCCAAGGTTGTGGCCGCCCCAAACGGCCACCTGCTGCCCGGAGTGAAAAAGTAAGCCACTTATCTGTACACTCGCATACACCAAAGCAACTGAGACCGCATTCGCAGGGAGGGCAACCCCTTTGGCCAATACCGCGGAACGTACGAGCTGCCCCCCAGGATAACGCGTGCCTTCTGCGCCCACTACGATGCCTGTCTGAGTGGGCGGCACAAGTTCGCTGCGTATCCGCGTGACCTGTGCTGCTGCCAGCGGGAGAACCGCAGGGCACTGGCCTGCGACCAGCGGACGGTGCTGGGCCACGAGGCCGATCCCCACTGGATGCGCCAGCGGTGCCAGACGAAGTGCGAGGGTCTGGAGCAGCTCAAGGAGCTGAACGAGCGCAGCTTGCGCTGCAAGCGGGCCAAGTGCCCAGTGGTGGTGAGTGGGCAACGGGGTCACCATCGGGGTCACCCCTACACATGACCGCCTTCTGCACCCTGCACCCTGCACTCTCACTCTCATTTCCACTTTCACCTTCACCTTCGCTGAATTGCACCTGTAGATCGAGAAAACCGTGCGGATGCCGCCGAAGGTGATCACGGCGACGTGCGTGGCCACCGAGAAGCGGCGGCGAAGGCACACCATTACCGCCTTCGCCAAAGGACGACCCGCCCTGTATCCCAATGAACTGACCCTGCCGCATTTCACGGCGGAGAAGCCGCCGCCGGTGCACGCCACTGCCAGCAAGCCGAAGGACAAGCCAAAGGACAAGGAGACGGGCCAGAAGGATAAGGATAGGGCGAAGGACAAGGGCAAGGAGCGCAAGTTGGCAAAGGGCCATTCGTAGCAATCTGTTTCGAGAAACCCCAAAAAAGCTAATTCCAATTCCATGTAAATCACTGGGCGAATGTTGCAAATACATTTTAAGGGGCAGCACAACTCATGGCATATATCTATACTTTAAAGCACACACCTCAGGGTAAACCATCTTCATCTTCAAATTCATCTGCATCTGCATCTTCATCTCAATCTTCATCTCATCTTCATCTTCAATCTCCATCTTTATCTGCATCTGCATCTTCATCTTCATCTTCAAATTCATCTGCATCTTCAAATTCATCTGCATCTTCATCTTCAAATTCATCTTCATCTTCAAATTCATCTGCATCTTCATCTTCAAATTCATCTTTATCTCAATCTTCATCTTCATCTCCATCTCCATCTCCATCTTCATCTTCATCTTCATCTTCATCTTCATCTTCATCTTCATCTTCATCTTCATCTTCATCTTCATCTTCATCTTCATCTTCATCTTCATCTTCATCTTCATCTTCATCTTCATCTCATCTCATCTCATCTCATCCATCTCATCTCATCTCATTGCATTGCAACCCATTGCAACCCATTGCAACCCATTGCAACCCATTGCAACCCATTGCAACCCGTCGCTCTGATCCACTTATGAAGAAGTGTTCCTGAAAGCCACCTACTCGATCCAACATGTCGCAAACAGCTCTGCCGGAACTGAGCTACACGCCGGGTGAGCTGACGGAGCCGCAATTCCGGTTGCCCTCGCACCAGGAGCTGCTCGACCAGAAGCGCCGCAGCACGGACAGCCTGCCGCTGGGGCGACTCACCTTGGACACCAGGGACACGCAGCCCATCAAGTACCGGGAGCAACTGGGCTCGGCGGCGGGTCGTCAGTTTCCCGCCCTGGCAGCGGCCCAAAATCGCTATACGGATCACCTGGAGCGGAGCAGCGAGCTCAGCTTCGCCTGCCTGGAGCCGGGGAAGGATCTAATCTCGTTGCCGACGGTGGGAGTACGTAGCTTTGGTCCGCAGCCCGATACCGATACCGATCCCGATTTGATCAAGAAGATGCCGCTGCACTCGATCACAGAGAAGCCCAACGAGCGGTGTCCCTCGCCAGTGGTGCCGGCATATGCCAATTTCGAGCTGGCCAAGCGGATGCACCAGGACAATCTGGACCACCAGCCGCTGCCCGATTGCGTCGCCGACTTGGCGTTCCGGCGGGCGCAGATATCCGGCGGACATGCGGGACTGGCCCTGGAAATCGATCCCATTGCCACGGGCGTGGGTGTGAAGACCCACAATGCTGGGCCCACGCACTGCACCAAGATGAAGGTATTTCGTCCGAAAACCGGCGGTGGCATTGTGCCCCGTGCCCTGGGCAATGGCGATGCCTTCCGTGGTGTTGGCTCCGCTCCGGCCAAAAAGATGGGACCCATGGATTTGGCCATTTGTTGGGACTTCAAGCCGGCGAATCCGGCGGATGAGCCACGCCTGGCCAGGCACATAGACGGCTCCAATGACTCGGCCGGGCCGGCTGTCTTCACCTGCGTGAAAACGCCGCGCGAGGAGCAATCCTCGGACTTGGGCCGCTCGGCTGGCGTCTTCACCAGCACCCTCGGTGAGGCGGATTTTTTTGACAAGGACATACTGAGGAAGCGAACGGATTTTGGTGGCACGCGTTTGGATCGCGAGGATCCGTGCGCCTGCGACTACTCACCACCGGCCAGACAAAGGGCACGCAGTGTCTCCCGCGACTCCAGCGCCTCGCATTGCAGGCGAGGATCGGGCATCGGCGGACCCACTGGCGGCGTTAGTTTCGGCAACTTGGCGGAGCTGCCCGGTCGCGGGATGCCCGATCGACTGGCCAAGCAGTATCAATCGTCGCCGCTGCTGGGCGACAAGGCCTACCAGGCCTTGCGGGAGAAATATTTGGGACCAGACTCTGGGCAGGATTGCGCGGCCGCCAATTGCCGGCCAACGGGTGGTCCGCCATGCAAGCGGGACGCACTCCTGCGGCGTCCAGCTCGCCGTCTCTGCCACAAGGTAGCTCCAGCGCCCAGATGCTGTGCCCCTTCCTTCGGTGGCCACGGACATGGTCACTGCTTGACCAGCAAGGCGGCCTTTCGTGCCGGAGTGCCCAGGCACAATGCCTCCGGCGATTTCGTGGGCACAGAGCCGGGCTGTGGAGGCGGCGCTGGTGGCGGTGGCAGGGTTCTGGTGGTGCCACGCCCCCGCCAGCCGTACGCCAAAAAGAACTACGACATCGAAACCCTGGTGCCGCCCTTCCAAAGCCAAGCGGGCGGCGCGGGCCAGGGTGGCTATCCAGAGCACTGGCGTCTGGCCAGTGTCTATCAGCACGCCTACAAGCCCATCGACCAGCGCAGACGGCCCCTTCTCCAAACCGTCTACAAGTAGGTCTGCCTCCTCCCACTGCATCCATTGCATGGATGGCTGTCCGTTAAGAATGCTGTCCGCTCAAGATGCTCTCTGGTGTCCGGAAAACGAGGTAAAGAGTAATAGAAAGCTATAGCCCGAATGCAAACATATAGTATAATGATAATAGCATTGTTTCCCACTGCATTTTATGTTTAGCACACGGGAAAATCGGTCCAAGAATAGGCTAAGTTAATCATTCCCAACAAATTAAATGAATAGTTTAAAACCATATTTAAGGAAGACTTGCGTTTCCTCGTTTTGCGTTTGTTAGAAAATCACAACAAGTTTATGTAAAAAACAAGTGTTATATATTAGAAAGCATATATAAAGAGATATGGGCAAACACACATACAATATGAATAAACGTGCAAACATCAAGTACTTAAAAATATAAACATGGTGCGAATCAATTTCTTTCGGAGTTCCCTTGAAAATGTAAAAAAAAATATATATATAAATTAAAACTAGGGGATATAAAATGTATTTGGTTTTCGGGTGAAAAAGGTTTCCTTTCGGTTTGCTGGTCTTGTGTGACAATCTTTGGGTGCATTTAAAACTTAACTAGGTGCTGAAAAATCGATTTCAAAAGAAGTTAATTGCCGTGAATCGACTCAAACAGGGCGCAATTACTAACAATTTTAAATTTAAACAATTTCTGCAGACATCATAAGCAAATACATTTAGTATAAGCCTGCTGCTCACTGTAAGATTAACGAAATGCTGTTGGAAAGCCCTTTTGAATCGACCCAATCGAATCTGCTCACTTGGCGGTGGCGTAGGCATCGTGGCTCTTGTGGAACACATGGCGCAGCACGTCCCGCGTGGACCGCCTGATGCTGTTCCGCAGGGAGTGCTTCTTCTCGTTGGTCAGCTGCTCGATGGTCATGTACTCGGTTTGGGCGACGCTCGAGCGGAGCTTCATGGTCCGTTCGCTGGAATCGATGATGGAGACATCGGCGAGAACGGGCTCCACTTGCTCCTCCAACTCGGCCGACTTCTGGGGCCGCCGTCGCAGGCTGTGCCGAATGCTATTGAGTATGTTGTGATGATGGCCAGGTCCATGTCCATGTCCATCCTTGTCCTCGCATTTCTCGGGTGACGTGTGCGTCGTGGGATGCATCAGTCTACGGATCGACTTTCTTATCATGCCCTTCATACCGCCACTGGACTTCATCTCCGCCGATTTGGAGGACTTGCTGGAGCCGATGGAGTGCAGCGACTCCTTGCTGGCCGCCTTGGCGGGCAGAGCGGCGGGTCTGTAGGCGCGAACGAAGCGCGTGGGTGCCTTGAAGTCCAGATCATCGGGCTCCTCGTCGGATTCGGAGGCATAGGCCACATCGCCGTCGGCTGCTGGCTCCTTTTCCCTCTCCGCTTGTAGCTGCTCTTCCAGGAGCTCCTCCGCCAGCTTCTCCTTCTCCAGATGCTTAGCCCTCTCCTGGAGCTTCTCCCTCAGCTGCTCGTGTAGCTTCTCCTGCAGCTTCTCCCGCTCCAAATGTTTCGCCCTCTCGAGGAGTTTCTCCTGCTCCAATTGCTTCTCCCGCGCTAAATGTCTCTCCCTCTCTAAGAGCATCTCCTGCTCTAGAATCCTCTCCTGCTCGAGAATCGCCTCTGCCTCGGGGTCCTTCTCAAGAGGCTTCTCCTTCTCCTCCTCCACCTCGGGAGCCTCACTAATCTCGGTGAGTGTGCGTCTTCTGGTGCATACCAGAAGCCTCTCCACTTTAGTGTCCTTCGCCTTCACCTCTTGCATTACCAGCTCCTGGGTATCGGTCTCCATGACCAACGAGACCTTGGTGTTCTTGGGCAATTCCACCTCCAAGCTTTTCCTGGGCACCTCCCGATCCACCAGCACACCATTCTTTCTTAGCTTCGCCTCGTTGATGCTGTTCTCCAACTCCAGCTGATAGCGATCCAGCTCCTTGCCAATGTCCATGGAGGACTCCTCGCTGATGGCGCCCAGCGAGCGCTTGGGCCCCGGAACGGGTGAAAAGACCAGCTTCTCGGCCAGCAGCTTGCTGGGCGTTAGCTGCGTCAGCGACATGCCGTGGAAATCGATGCGACAGCCCAGCGTGGGTGTGAATGGCAAGCCGATCTTCAGGCTGGTGGGCAGCTGCTCATCCGAGTCCCGATCGGCCAGAGCCGGATTGGTCACACCCGAGGGATTGCAGGCAGCCTCGGACGCCTCGCTGGGCCGATGGATCTCGAAGGGATTCAGCGAGGCTGGGGCATCACTGCCGCGCAAATTCAGGGCAGGATTCACGAAGCCCTTGGCCGGCGTGGTTGCCGAGCGTACGACCTACAAATATTATGTTATTCATTATACATATATATGAATATGAAATATGAGTATTCAATAGTATAATTAATGTAGTATATAGAAAATAAAGCAGCATGTGTGTTATGTAGAATTTCTACTGTACCTTTACTGGGCTTACAGGTACACCCATGCACGTCTGTACTAGGGCACTCACCTCATATGGATTGAACTGCTTCTCGGGCAGTTCCAAATTCAGGCCAGGATTCTCGAAGCAGGCGTGCTCGCGCTTCTTCTTCTTGGGCGGCTGGCGCAGGACCTCGAAAGGATTCGTGGGCAGCTGCAGTTGCTGCTGCTGCTGCTCCTGGGCGAGATCGGCTATGGACTTGACCTCCAAGCCGGGAAACGGATTGGGATGGCTGTTCTCTTTGGCCAAACGCCGACGAGCCACCATCAGCTTCTTGGGCGTTGAACTGAAGGCGGCGTTGGTGAAGCAGGACTCCGTCGAGGTGACAGCTGCATCCTGTGCGTCCTTTTCTGGGGGTTGCTGCTGCGGATTCGGGGGCGGGGGAGCATTTTTGTAGAGCGTCTCCCTTTTGCGCTTGCGCGGCGTCTCCGTGAAGGCCAATGCAGCTATGCTCTTCGTCTCCAACATTTTTTAGTCGAATTCAAGTCTTAATTTTCTTTAAACAGATTATAATTGTCTTATTTTAGATCAGCAACGGGCAATTATAAAGAACGCAGTGCGACACCAAATACCATTTTAAAAATACTCAGGCAACTGGAACCGGTTGCATCGTTAGCCAACACTGCGCTCGAACCGGTTCAGCAACAGCAGTGCTCTCGATAGGCACTGTTAATTACTCATTACATGTCTGTTAACATTTTTTGTTCATCCATTTGTATCAGCTAACCGAATGGTTTATTTCAGTACTTACGAAGTTTTTGAATATTTTATCCGTGTTTTATCCGCAGCTATGCTCTTCGTCTCCAACATTTTTTAATCGAATTCAAGTCTTAATTTTCTTTAAACAGATTAGAATTGTCTTATTTTAGATCAGCAACGGGCAATTATAAAGAACGCAGTGCGACACCAAATACCATTTTAAAAATACTCAGGCAACTGGAACCGGTTGCATCGTTAGCCAACACTGCGCTCGAACCGGTTCAGCAACAGCAGTGCTCTCGATAGGCACTGTTAATTACTCATTACATGTCTGTTAACATTTTTTGTTCATCCATTTGTATCAGCTAACCGAATGGCTTATTTCAGTACTTACGAAGTTTTTGAATATTTTATCCGTGTTATTTCTTTCTCAATATGTGCTTTAGATGAAATGTATATAACGAATAAAATGTAACTGCATTTTAAGCGGTATGATTGTTATCGATACTACAGGGCACCAGCCAGCTATCGCCACCGATAGACGATAGCTTTTGTTATCAGGTGGTTCAATTTGTTTTCAAATGATTTTAGCGTCACATTCTTGTCAAACAGGAGAACGCTGCTTCTGCGTGGCAAAACAGACATAAAACAGTGGAATAAACTGTTTCCTCATTGAGTGCCAAGTGCGGTGCAGTCGCAAAGCTAAATATGTCCAGCTCCCGCCATCGCAAACCGACAAAATCATCCCGCGTTCCTCCACAAGCCAGGGAATACATCAGCGCAATGGCCGAGGACCGGGAATTGGAGCGATTCATGGCCTTCTCGTCGACAGCGAGCAGTGGAGCCAGCGGCAGCACTCACAGTTGTGCCCTGGGACCAGTCCTGCCGCCACGGTGTGCCTCCGTGGAACATGGATTGCGGCCAGAATCCGGCCACAGGCGTCGCCCAAAGAGCAGCGACCATGCACCGGACAAAGAAAAAGCAGAGGAACAGCTCCTTGAACTGCCACTTTCACCACCAATCAGTAAACACACAATCTCCCAGTCGGCATGCCCAAAATCAAAAGTAACTCCCACAAAATCTGATGAATACACCATTATACCCATTTTATTGGCCAGTAGCCCCAGTTTCCGTCCCGTAGCAGCCACGCAAACCATGTCTCAATCCGCGGATGACCTACGGACACCCACCAAGTCGCCCCAGATGCAAAGCAAAAAAACGCAGACACCAGAGTCTGCCCTGAAGTCACACAAGCGCCTGGAGTGGGATCCTGCTGCCGATGTGGGCTACTGCAAGAGGGCACTGTCCACGAGTAACATTAGCACCCTGGAGCGATCAGTACTGGTGGATTGCGGCTGGCGTCAGCCAACACAGCAGCGGGCCGAGGCGGATACGGATATGCAGCGCCAGGAGGCGGTGCAGCCGTTACCAATGCTGGATAAGCCAACGCCACCACTGGCTTGCAGTACATTTGTCAATCGCAGCGATCGCTTGAAGCCTACAATGGATTCCCTGGACAGTTCATTGAGCTCTAGAAAAGGGGATTCTAGGGAGAAATCTCAAAGTAAGTCCAGGAGGGAGGATTCCGGCAGTAGCTCTCGTCACAAGGATTCACGCAGCAGCTCGCGCAAGGACTCAATGCAAAGCAGCTCCAAAGAAATAGGAAAAGGTACCCAGTGCAGTGCCAATAGAGAGGGTTCCCTAATTGACTCCACCAATGAAGGAGCTATTGACAGCCGTAGGAATGAAGATTTGAGGCTTTCTTCGCGAGTACAAGATCCACAGATTAGTTCGCGCAGAGCATCGGAGAGTAGCTCGCGGAGGGAATCACTGAGCAGTTACAGAAGAGACGACTCCAGGCTCAACTCGCAGAACAGCTCCAGATTGGGATCACGTGTCAGCTCAAGGGCGGAGAATTCGCGTTCCAGTTCCATGCGGGAATCACAAGCCACCTCGCTATACGGCAGTTCGGCGGCCAGTAGCTTTGACTACCACATACACGGGGAACAGGAATTTAAGGTGGTCAAGCAGGATCAAGGAAGACAAAATGAGAAGGGGGATGAGACGAAGGAGCAACTGGAAAAAGAGCAGCAGCCAAAGGATCTACGACAAGGGGAACCCAAGCGAAAAGAGCAGCGGGACAAGGATGAACATCTGGAAAGAGAACAGAAAGGAATTCAGAAACTCGCGAGGGAACAGAGAAAAGCTGAACAGCGCGAAAAGGAGCGCGAGCAAGAGCGACGGTACACGGCGGCTCAGTTCGAGAAGATTTTGGGCAGTCGGCGGCATGAGAACAAGGAGAACCAGCAACCGCAGAACCCCTCCACTGGCGAAACCGCAAACGCCTCCACATCCTCCTCATCGATAGAAATTGGATCCGGAGGTAGACCGCGGGGGGAACTGGATCTAGGAATCGATTTGCTCTGTTCTCTGGTGAAAACTCGCAGCCTCAGCCAGGGACAGAAGAAGAAACTGGTCAGAGATATAGCCAGGCGTATCGCCTGTCTGGATCTGGCCGAATCCAGTACTAGTTTGCGCTCCCTGAGCAACACAAAGGAGCAGCTAAAGGGTGAGTAAATCATTTAAGAGACTGAGTTCTTATGCATTTCATACCTTGAACAGTGTCCACAGGATCTCAGCAGCGGCAAGACGCGGCCACCAATACGACCCAGTCCAGTTCGAGAAGCTCCTCTAAAGCTGAACGCATTGCTCTACCAGTGCCCGCTCCACGAAAGCGAGGAACTGCCGGCACACCGTCGCCATTGCCTGCCAGCTTAACGCACAGTGGTTCAACCAGTGCCTCACGCGAGGTGATCACCCAGAAGACCAATGTACCAACTCGCGAGGCTGCCTCAACGGATGCAGATGTCGAGCCTTCGGACTTGCAGGAGTGGCTGAATCCCATGACCCAGAGTGAAATAGAGTACGAGCAGCGTTTAAAGGGAGGCACGGATTCGGAGCGCAGGCAGCAGCTCAACTGGATCGACACAGAGATTCGTCGCCTGGAGGGATTGCAGAAGCTGTTGTTCAATACCATTGCCACTTTGCCCAACAGTTCGCACATTGAAGCGGGAAAGGAATATCTTTTGCCACAAGAAATGCAAGCTGACGCATTTGAAGAAGTGGACAATCCGGAAACACCAGCTACACCGCCGCCGCCAGTGCGAATTGAATCGGTGGGAGCGACGCTCAGGGAACTGCCTCAAACTCCTGCTCCCACACCGCCAGCACCGCCACCACCACCACCTCACCTCAACCAGCAGAAACCACAGAACCGCAAAAAGATGGCCACTCCTGTACTCGCTTCGAGTAGCTCCACCAGTGGCGGTGGTCGCAGCGAAAGTGTGTGTTCCTTTGTCCAGCAAAGGCAGCGGCAGTTCCGCGAGCATTATCAGAACCAGCAGCAGCAACAGCTGCTATTGCTGCAGCAGCAGAAGCTTCACCAGCAGCAGAAGCAGCTAAATCAGCAGAAAGATCTTTTGAAACAGAAGCAGCAACGATGTGCTCATTGTGCGCATTGTGGTCACCAGCGGACGCACGTTCATCAGCAGCATTGTCCGGTAAGGACATACTCCTTGCAACTCCTGCTTCCTCTTACTACAGCCATCTCTTTCTTTTTCGCAGCAGTACCGGAGGCAACACCAGGAAGCAACGCAGGACCAACACGATGAACGGGAGCATTATATGCAGATGCAGTACGCCCAGGCGGCGGAAAGTGCCAATGCCACTCCACTCCAGAGTGGTAGCGCCGGTTATAGCTGTGCGGATAGCAAGGAAGCCATCTACTACCAGGTGGTGAACTCGCAGGGAGCAGCTAGCTATGTGCAGGCAACAATGGTGAGCACAGGGGCACAAAACGAAGCATCTGCAACTGGTGGAGCAGGAGGCTCGGCCATCAGCAGATCGACCACAACCACCACCAGTTCATCCACCTCGATGATGTGCATCAGCTCGGATATGTCCATACCCATGGGCATGGTGAACACATGTGAGACCACCACCACGACCACCACACATCAGTACGATGACGTGGCATGTCAGCGGGTGAGAAGGCTGCACAAGGAGACCAGAAAGAATGCGGAGCGCATGCAACGCCAGACGCTGCATGTGCGTCCACGTGCCATTGCCTATTCCATCCAGTTCACGCCGACGGGCGACAGTGAGGTGTTTCCGGAAACGCGTTCCCTGCAGGATCAACTGCAGCTGGCTCGTCCCGAGTTCTGTGCCAAGTCCAAGCAGCGCAAGGCCATACTTAACGAGATGCAGATGATCCGAAACCATCGGCGGCAGGAGCTCGACAATCTTCTGTGCGAGAATACCAGCTTGGAGACGCTGGACAGACGTCTGCAGCAGCTGCCACCGCCAGCCACATGTAAGATATCAGAGAAAATAAACTGATATTGGAATAATACCAACATTTCTTATCTGGCAGCTCGCTTGAGGATATTTACCACCAAGCAAATGAAGGCGATGACCACCAAACGCTGCCAAAGCCTGCCGGAAGTGTTAGCCGCCCAAAATCGGCAGCAGGAAGAGCGAAGACGTCGCTGCAATCGTCTGATGCGAGATGTTTTTAACAAGGTACGACAATGCACCCCGATTTGCATATATCCAAATTCCTAAATTCCTAAATCCCATTTCCTAAATCAGCGCCTTCACAATCGCGTGGCCAACGGACAAATATCGCTAAATCACAGCATGGCAATCATCTAGCGAGGATCGAATTAGGATTTCCACACAGCCACAGAAATGACACCCCCACCAGTTATAGTTTCTTACTACTATTTTTTTGCCACTGCCAGGCTTTTTATTTTTGTATAGCTTTTAATCGTTCACAAGTGTTGGACAACAGCATCAGGTTTGGTTTAGTTTATAGGGAATATGCAAATTGAATGTAGGGAACAGGTTAATTACAAACATAAAAAACTATGTTGATTCTATAAAACCACCAGTTCATAAAATTTATAATGTTTTTGAAAGAAATAAATAGAAATGGAAAGAAATACCAACACGGACTTATACCCGGTTCATATATTTTTGAGCGTGGATTAGTTCATTCCCCAACTTTGGCCACACTATTTCCCGCCAAATTTAATAGTTCGTTGCTTTTAAATATACGATTTCATGATGATACGCCAGGTTCTTCAATATTTGCCTTGTTTCTTGAGCATGAGAGCGAAACACCGACTATTATTTGTTCTTTCATCGTTATTTTATTAGAATTCAATTTGTAATCCATTCTCGTTGCGTGTGTCTTTCTGAGTTTACAATTAAGTACACTTTTACAGTTTTAAGTACATTCATAATCGCTAAGTACATAGTTTAATTTGTTCAGTAGTTTGTTGCCGCTGCTGCTGCTGCTGCTGCATCCACATTAAATAGAACCATATATTTTTTATAATATAGTTGTGTGCTTTTTATAAATATGTTGTATATATAGGCATGCATTGGGTAAATGTAATTTCGTTTATTTTCGTTTAGCTTAAACAACGCTACAAACGCGAAATGCTTTGGTTATTGCTGTAAGAAGTCCACTAATTTAATTATATCATCATGCTTTTCGTATATATTTAAATAGCTATATGCTTAATATGTGTGTGTTTTTTTTTTTCATAGGCTACAGCAATGAATGAGTTTCGTTAAATAAGATCCTAAAAAAAATGTGTCCTAATCCTAAACCTACAAATACCTGACTATCCTTACTTGCAATCAGCAAAATTTCGTCTGCATCCTGCATTATATAACTAGGTTTAAGCCACGCTGCGGTTCTCAAGGCCTCTTTCAATGTACATTATATATTATTTTATTATTATTTTAGGTGTGTATTTTTGTTTGTTGTTTGTGTCAAGTCTTCTTTTTGTCATGCTCAAATGTTCGTTGTTTTTCAGTGATCTGTTTTTTTTTTGTCTTTGCTTTGTTTTCGTCATTGCAGCTACTTACGGCTAATTGTAAAATATGTATATTTAGTTATATAGCTAGGAAAAAAAAATGTTAAAAAAAAATAGTGTTTGTCTCCAAAGATTTTGATTAGCTTGTGGTTTGTTGGTTGGACCGCTTAACATAGGGGTTGGCAAAAAAAAAAGAGGTCTCCCAAAAATGGTGGTCATAAACTCTGCAAAACAGGCGTGTCCAGTTGTAGCTCCTTTTCCTCACTTACATCTTGAGCCTGTGACTCCTAAAATAACAAATAATCGAGCTGTTAAGTGCACCCCTGCTTTACATTCTAATCAGGTTCTCACTTTCACTTTCACTTTCGTTTCGCTTTTTTTTCTTCTTTTTTTTGTTTTTTTTTTTAAATAGACTACCATTATTGAAAACTATTTAAGCTTTGGTATATGTAAGGCGCGGTGTTAGACTGCTGCTACTTCAGAATTTATGGCTCTAGGTTGCCGCACAAGTTGCACTTCCATGTGTCGTTCACTTGTTGTCAACACCCAGAAGTTTGGCCGCCTCGTCGGGGGAGGAGAGCAGCTTGTTGAGAATGCCCTGGTCACTGATGCCCAGCAGATTGCCAATCAGATCCGAACCGGCGACGCCTGCGCCCGATGGCGTGGCCTCGCCCATGTTCTCCTTGTGCTCGCCCAGGCGGCTGGCCCGCCACTCGCTGGCCTTGTCCAGCAGATCGTGGAGCTTCAGTCCCAGCTTGGAGCTGCCATTGTTGTTGTTATTGTTGTTGTTGTTATTATTGTTATTGTGGCAGCTGTTGTTGTTGTTGGCGCCGGCGCTGGCAGGCTGAGCGGGAGCAGGGGTGCTGGGCGGGCTGCTCACCTGCTCGTCGTCGGAGCAATCAGATCCCGGCGTATCCCCATTGTGGGCCCTGCCACTGTGCTTCTTCATGTGCCGCAGCATGCTGTGCTTCAGGGTGAACTTCCTCAGGCAGATATCACACTGGAATGGCCGCTCGCCCGAATGGGTACGCATGTGGCGACGCAGATCCTCCGTGGACCAGAAGCGGCGGACGCAGAAGGCGCAGATCACCTTGCGGTTGCTGTAGTCCGGATACTTGCCTCTGTTCGCGCCATTGGGTGCCTCGTCATCGGAGTGCACCGCCTGCTGAGACGGCTGCTGGTGGGGATTAGGCTCCAGCGATTCGTTCTCGATGGCGCCCTTGGCCAGGAGCAGGGCGAACTCGTGGGCGTGAGCCTGCTTGATGTGCTCCAGGCACTGCAGACGCTCGGCAAACGAACCCTCGCACAGGTGGCACTTGTAGGGCAGATCACCGCCAGCCAGGGCATCGCCAATGGGTCCATTCGCACCAGTTGCATTGCCATTCGCCGCTGAGGCAACAGCGACGGCGGCAGCAGCGGCGGCGGCATTCATTTGAGCTGCCAGCTTTTGGATGAGCTGCTGGCGCTCGCGTTCCTTCTCCTTTTCCAGCTCCCGCTCCCTTTCCAGCTCCCGCTCCCGTTCCAACTCCCTTTCGCGCTCCAGTTCCAGCTCCTTCTCGCGTTCCGCCTCCTGCCGACGTCGCTGCTCCTCCAGCTCGATCTCCTCCACCGATTTGGGCACGGGTATCGGTTCACTCACATCCTCGGTGGGCACATACACAGACATGGCCGACTCCACATTGCCGTGCTTGCGCAGGAGATGACGGTCGCAGTTGCTCTTGGTGGTGAACAGCAGCGGGCAGTGGGAGCACTTGAAGGGCTTCTGGCCAGTGTGGGTGAGGATGTGCCTGCGCAGTGAGCTGCTCCATGGGAACATGCGCTGGCAGTACGGACAGGAGACACGATTGGGGGCCAGGCTGTAGGCGGACTTCTTCTTGGGCTCGCTGCTGGAACTGCTGCTGGTGACGTCCTCGGTGCCACTGTTGTTGCTCTCACTGGCGCTGCCGGAGGCCACCAGGCCCTCCTCGTCGCTCTGCTCCATGTGATTGGCCACATCGCTGGGCCGGAAATAGCTGAAGCCCATGTTCTGGCTGGTGGCATTGTCCACCAGCTTGGCCACTGGCACCAGATCCTGGGACTCATCCTTAAACGGCGAACTTGCCACTTCTTTGAGCGATTTTCCCACAGATTCCGCTAGAGCGATCATGGTCTTCAAGCTGCTGGGATTGGTACTGGGTGGATTGGTTGTGGCTGGCTCCTGCATGGTTGTGGCCACGCTTGGATTAGCTGGCGGAGCGTTCTCCTTGGCGGGAGTTGGACTCGATGGCTTGCCCGCCTTGATGGCCTGCTCCAAAATGGTTTCGGCCATTTTTTGGGCCGCTTCCTTGGAGCCCAAAAGCTCTAGCGGCTTGGGCAGCTCCGGCTCCTCTGCGGCTTCCTTTTCGGCCGGCTGCTCGTCTAGAATCAGCTCCGGCTCATCATCCGGCTCATCCATCTCCTCCTCGTCTTCATCCTCCTCGAAGTCATCCACGTCCTCCGCGTCCATCTCATGATCATGTTCGTTTTCATCCTCGTCAATGACCAGCTTGGGCTCATCGTCATCCATGGCGGTGGCCTGGCCATTGCCCTGGCTGCCATTGTGCAGGGGACTGGGATTGGCGAGTGGGTAGCCGAAATGCAGGAGTGGATTGCCGGACACACTGCTGGAGCCGTGGGCCAGAGCCTGCTGCAGCAGATCGCTGTTCTTGTGAGCCTTCAGTTGCTGGGCCAGGATGGCGTACTTGACTTCCTCCGAAATGGGTGCATGTCCATGGGAGCCGTGGCCGTGGCCATGATGGTGATTGGAGCCAGATCCGGCGGATCGCGGTCCACCAACCGGCACCTGACCCATGGCAGCTGCAGCTGCTGCGGCGGCGACAGCAGCGGCGGCACTGGAGGCACCTCTGCCCCGCATCACATGGTGGCCACTCCTCTGCCGTTGGGCGTAGAACTGCGGATGCTGCTGCTTCACATGGCGCTCCATGTTCGATCGCAGCGTGAATCTCGCCGAGCAGTGCTCACAGGCGAAGGGACGCTCGGTGCGATAGCGTCGCTGCTTCTGTTTGGGCATTAGCACTCCGTTCTTGATGACCATCTTGACGGGACCACCAGGTGGCACTGGCACGCCGACTCCAACGCCCACGGGCATGGGATTGAGGCGGTTGGGTGGACTCACCAGCGGTGGCTTCTCGGGATTTGCTTGTGGCGGTGGTGGCGCCATGAAGGGAAAGAAGTGGAATCCCGGCGTCTGCGATTGGAACATAAGGCTGCGGAACAGCTGTTGCATGTAATCTCCGCCAGCGCCAAAGAGTTGCTGCTGGGCCAGCAGCAACTGTTGCTGCTCAATGGGGGTCAGGGCCAGGTCAGGAGTTCCAACGCCGCCCGGCGCCACTGGAGCCACCGCAGTGGGTGTGGGCGTGGGTGTGGGAGTGACGGCGGGTGTCAGTGGTGCTCCGCCAGTTGGCTTCTTGCTGAGATCCAAAACATCCATGCTGAAGTCTAGGGCAGCTGCACTCTTCTCCTGCTGCTGCTGGGGAGCTGGTGCTGTTGGCTTCTTGTCCACCAGCTGGTCGAGGCTCTTCACCTGGATCTTCAGAGGCGGCTGTTGGGTAGCAGGAGCCAGGTGATTCTCGCCGAGCAGCATGTGCTTCAGCTGGGAGCTGCTCTCATTCACCGGAGGCGGCGGTGGCGTGGGACTGATCGAACGGAAACTCATATCCGCCAGGTCATCACCCAGCCGAGACTTGCCATCCTCACAGCCAGCGTCCTCCGCCGGATGATAGACAATGGCACGCTTGACCTCCTCGCGACTGGTCTTTCCATGGCGGTTCCTCAGATGGCGCTCGCAGTTCGCCTTAGTAGTGAAGGCATAGTTGCAGACGGCGCACTCATACGGACGATCTCCGTTGTGGGTGCGCATGTGACGCACCAGGGCGGCCTTGTCGCAGACGGCGTAGGGACACATGTTGCAGCGAAACGGTCCAGCGGGACCCACTGCGCCCAGATGGACCCTGTTGTGCCCTTTGAGGGCACGAAGGTTGGGGAACACGGCCGTGCAAAGCTTGCAGGGGAACTCGCCGCGCAGCTTCATGCGACGGAACTCCGAGGTGAACGCGTCCTGGGCCTCCTCCTCCTGATCCCTACCGTCCAGGCTGTACTGGCTGGAGCTGGGCGTGTTCACCGACTGCTCGAAGTTGCGCAGAAAGCTGGAACTGGAGCTGGTCATGTTCAGGATGCTCTGTATATCGGCCAGATCCTTGCTGTCCGCCGGTTCGTGTTTGATGGGCGATGGCGGATGCGAGATGGCTCCGCCTCCATTTGCCGTCTTCTGCTTCAGATACAACTGGTGGAAAAAGTCCTCGCTTTGTCGCTCGATTCTCTCCTTCTGGTCGAGATCCTCGTCGTCGCCCTGGCCGTCATCCTCTGGCTCCTCGTTGTGCAATGGCGAGCTGCTGGATCCGAGGAGCGGCGGTAAGCCACCGCCCAGAGCGGTGGGTAAGCGGCAGCAGTGCGCCTGCAGTTGGCGATGGCTGGCGAAGATCACCTCGCAGTCCCGACACTTGGCGGGTATGTCTGAGTGCCTCGCATCCAAGTGGGCGCACAGCGCGGGCAAGGTCTCGAATTCGGAGGCTCCGCAGGCGGGGCAGCTGAGGAGCAGGGCAGGCGAGGCGGATGGCGATGGCGATGGTGTGGCGGAACGCGAGGCGGCGCCGGATGCACTGGCGCCGGCCAGAAGAGTGGCGACATCGGGTGTGCTGGTCAACATGGCCACATCCGCATCGTCGGCCTCCTCATCCTCCTGCCCCATATCCTCCTGCTGCTCGCTGTCGATGATGTTGTTATTGATGGTGGTCTTCAGACGACGCTGCTTGCTCTCCGAATCCTGGTCCTCAGCCGGCATCTCCAGCTCCTCCAGGTCCTTCAGGTTGTTGTTAGCTTTGTGCGAGTTGTTGTTGTTGTTGTTGTTGTGGTTGAGGGAACTGCTGCTGCGACTGTGACTATGTCCACTGGACGCGTCCGTGGAGCAGCTGGCATCGCTCTCGTAGCTCTCCGCTCGTCCGGACAACGTGGTGGCCACCAGTTGCTGCTGGGCGGGACTCTGCTGCTGCAGCTGCTGCTGCTGCGACTGCTGATGCTGCTGCTGTCGCCGCTGCTGCTGTGACTGTTGCTGCTGCGACTGCTGCTGCTGCTGCGACGGCGCAACCTGATGCTGCTTGTGGGTGCGCATGTGGCGGTGCATGTTGCCATTGGTGGTGAACGTCAGGTGGCAGTAGCGGCAGTTGAAGGGCCGCTCGCCCGTGTGCACCAGCACGTGTCTGTCCAGGGATGAAGCCGAGGATAGCACCTGTTTTTCATTTTTTTAAGTTGGGAGAAGAGAGAAGGTGGGCGAAACGAAGAACAGGTGAGTGAGTAATCAGGCGATCGGGGGTTAATAACCTAGGTTAGCTGCTGTCAATTCTAGTACACCTGTCTATTTATCGATTGAAAGTGCAGGCAGTAGTTTATCTCAACGGGCAGTATTGAAGATCTTCGAATGAGACTTGGTTTCCCAAACGAAATGCCTAAATCTATGACATCTAATCTATTGACAAACACAATTTGAATGACCACAATGACTCACCTTGGAGCAAATGCGGCAGATGAAGTTATCCGTATCGCCGTTGGCGTAATTGTGGCACCGGATGTGGTTGGTGAACTCGTGTGGCGTGGCCGAGACCACCTCGCAGATGGGGCATAGGTATTTCATATGCTCGTCGCCAGCACCGATGCCCGATTCGCCGCTGGAGAGGCACAAGCCCTGGGGCGAGGAGCCACCGGATCCGCCACTGCTGCTGCCACTACTGCTGCTGGAGGCTGCCGTGGTCGCTGCTCCGCCGACTGGAGATGGAGCCACTGCGCCAGCGCCAGCGCCAGCACCAATACCACTGCTGGCAGTTGTGTTGGCAGTGCTGCTGCTGTTACCCAAATAGCCACTGTGGCCAGTGGTGCTGCTGGCGTCCACGAATCCCGACTCCGAGAGACTGGCCGCCGAGCGATTCAGACGGAATTTCTTGCGCAGCGAACTGGCATCGCCACTGCTGTAGTCCACCACAATGGAGGCCTGGGTAGAGGCGCCACCACTGCGGCGCTGCTTGTGCCGTCCCAGACTTCTTGAACCCAAGGCGGCCACCTGGTCGTCGTCCTCCTCCAACTCCTCGTCCTCCTCATCTGCCGCCGCCTCCTCCTCATCACTCAGCAATTCCGAGTGCTGCTGCTGATGGTGATTCATTTGCAAATGGCGAAGTTTACGCTTGCGCGACGACGCCACCGTCGTCGACTCATGTGGCGTGGATGTGGTCTGCGCGGAGCCACTGTTGCCGCCCAGTTTCTTGGGCGTACGTCCCAGATCCAGATGCTCCAGGGAGGACTCCGATGTGGTGGAGTCCCGCCGCTGGCGCTCCATTTCGGATTCCGCTGTGCTGTTGTTATTGTGCTGCTGCTGCTGTGCGGCGAGCATTTTTCCAAAGGCTAGTCAACTGAGCTAATGGAGAAGAATGCAAAAAATAAAGGACTTTTAGTGATGGGGGAAAAAAGCACACTTATAACACTCAATCGAAACCATCGAAACACTTGAACAAGTGTTTACAATATAACAAATATTTCGAAGCCGAAAGCAAAGTTGATCAAAGCTACTCGTATTATTAACTGATACTCTTGCATTCTCCAATTAAAAACTTTGGCCAAGTAATAAATGTATAATTGAAATCATTTTTCAAAGAATGAAGCTAATGCTCGAGAAGAAGGAGCAATTTATTACACAACAATAAAAGGATTTTGCAACACTAATGCGCTGATATGCTTTCAGAAATGTATCACAAAGTCTGAATTCACGAAAAGCTGAAGATGGAGAGAAATCAAATATGTTACGCCTAAACAAGTGTTATCCATACTGACTAAGTTCCTTTCTGAAAACTGAGTACAGGGTTCAAGTAATAACATAAAATCGATAGTCGGTACCCCGCATTCCCCAGTCTTCGATTGTCGCGTAATACTAAACTAAATCTTGAGTTGCATAAACAGCTGATCGCACAAGATTCAGGCGAGTAAACAATGCGATGGAAAGAAGAACAAACAGAAACCGAAATGCTATTGGAAATCGAGTTCCATTTACCGGGAATAGCGAATAAGAAGAATTGGAGACTGTTGCAAGTGCATCCGCAGAAAGGTGCGAAGAATTGAATTCAATACGCATCTGGCAATGCTGCTCTTATCTAGAATTTCAGTGGGTGTGCATGTGTGTGGGTGAAAAATGTGGGTACGCTCATTAGCATTCACCGTTATCAAGGCTATAACTGGTGTGTGGTGGCCCAATTGTTGTCGTTGTTGCTTTTGTGGGTGGTGGATCAATTTGGAAATCCTAACATCCCCCACCGGAAAGCAAAAAAGAAAGAAGCCTCAGAGGCTGATCAAAAATTTCTACCGATAACGAGCCCACTGTTCGCTATGTATGCGTGTACATACGGGCATACATACATATATAAATGTTTCGGTGAATGTGTGTTAGTTGTTTGTTGTCCATTGGCTTTCGGTTTGGCCTTTCATTTTGGTTGGCTGATTTCAATTTCGTTGTCCGTGAGTCATGAAAAGTCATTGGAGATAAAGAATCCCTCGCAAATATATATTTCTTGGGGCGGGGAATCGTTGGGCGGTTTTTCGTATATTCACACCTTTATGACCCTGAGAATTATCAATGAACACAAGTTGGTCAGCGCAAGACCATCGAACTAATCGCCATCAAACGGAATCAAGCCGAGTGAAGTGAACCGTTTGACATGGAACACAACGCAACACAACCCCTGTGATATTAAAAAGATCATCAATCTGCATTAAACCCTATAAAAGGAGGGCCTCATCATCCCCGACCACAGAACTTTTTGGCTTTTCGGACTGGACTGCGTGTGTGTGTCAAAGTTCAAGGGTTTTAGCATTGGTCATGGGTAATTTTTTGACCCGGCTAATTGCAGGCAGAACTTGACCCAAAACACCAAGGGAGGGGATTTCGGAAAAGGACTTTGAATTGAAATGTTTTCAAACATTGGAAAATAATCTGAAGTATTTATTATGTCTTTAAAATGCCGTGCATATAGTTATGAATTGCAATAATTTAATTTAAAAATGAAACACCGGTGTCATTAATTGAATTCTAATGATATACGATCGATTTGAACTGGCTAAAATATTTGAGCAACTTAATCTTTTTTTAAAACTATTTCTGCTGTCTAAACCGATTTGAAAACACTGCTGCACTTCTCACCGTTTCTTAAAAATGACATTTAATTTTCTTTTGAAAACTATGTTTTGAAATTTCTCAATTTTAGAACAGTTTTGCTAATTCTTCCTCAATAATTTGACGCAAAGAAATTGAACACCCAATATCTATTCCAATTTCATCCTTTTGATAATCCATGTTTTTCGGCTCGATTCGTTATCCAAAGCAACAACAATTTGTTCACACACAAATCACAGAAACAGCAGCAACAAAAAAAAAAAAAAATCCATAATAATCACTGTTAAAAAAATTACCTTAGTGGATATTTAGTTGTGAAATTGTGTTCAAAAGTTGCGACGGCATTCCAACTTTGGATTTCGCACTATTTAGGGATTGCTTCCTTTTTAAAAACGATTTTTGGTAGCTTTTTGGTGTTGTGTGTTTTATGTTTAGTATATATGTATGTTTTTCAATTTTTTTTGTCAGATAACTTAATTCAGATAGCACTTTTTGTTTTTGGTTCACTTAATATTTTTCACACTTCTTTGGCTTTAAAGCTTAGTAGGTATTCCAAAAATGATTCCAATGATTCGTGGTTAAAAAAACTTGAAAAAAATATGCAGTTTGTGTTTGTAATTTCTTTTTTTTTTTTGGATTAGAATTGAGAAATTCTGTTTATGTTTTATTTTTTCGACAAGTTAATTATTTGATTTGTCTGCTTATGAGTTGGTTACTTGAAGCGCCGCGCACGAGTTTTGTATCTTGTTCTCAGCGCAGCCGCAGCGCAACCGATTCGGCAGATGAAAATCGACTGATGTTGTATTTATAAAGTTGTATTTATAAATACAACGGCTGCGCTGCGCTGCCGCCGTCGGCGTCGCTGTCCGCGAGAGCGGATGGGAGAGCGCCGGAGAGCGCGTCTGCGGCTGTGTGCGAGTGTATGCGTGTTAGACAAGGCTGGCGACTGCGCTGCTCTTTCGGCGGAGGCAGCGCAGCTTGGATTTTCTTTCCTTCTTCTTCGTTTCAAATTTGTCTTCTTCTTCTCTTTTTGGGCGCAAATAGGATTACACATTGGGTGCGTGTGTGTGTGCGTGTGTGAGTGCTGAAGAGCGAGAGGGACGTACTCATCTTTCATTGGAATTGGAAGTACAGTGGATACTTGGCAACTGGAAAGGGGATGCATGACCCCAGAAGGAGTATTATACGTGCAGTTTATGATGTGTGTCCTTACTTGAAAAATGCTATTTAATAACGAGAAATAAATAATCATTAATTAATCATTACGCCCTAATTAATACCGCAAGCACAGAAAAGCTAAATGCAACGCATCAAGCAATTGCATCTAAGATAAAGTAGCTTCTAGCACATCTAAAAAAAAAAATGAATCAAAAATGTACGATTTAAGATAGAAATATGTATGCTAGAATATCAGCACCAAAACTGAAGTAAAGAGGAGCATTATCACACTTTTCCGCGCCACGAGTGCCCACTGTATATAGCACCCACATACACATATGCATATGTCTGGATGCATTTTGGATTTTTGGGCAAATCCCGTTGCCATTGGCCACGCTGGCCATGTTTGTTGCCCTTTCTGTCGCACTTCATCTAGCGATGAGCACATCCAGATCTTCGTGTGCATATGTACATACATACATATGTATGTATGGTTGTATGATGTGCTCATCCATAGCTGTGAACATCCCCAACCATATCCGTATCCATTAACCCCCGAGCGGATACTTCCTGGCCAGTTCCTCAACCTTAACCTCTAGCTGTGCCCAGAGCGGAAGTCGGAGACGATCGAGTCTCTTTTTGGTCCCTTTTCACCTTTCACCTTTTCAGGGTGCGTCATCAGCAATCAAGCAGCATTGAAATAAGCATGAACGCACTGGAAGAAATATCATGCAGCTTGTCCCAGCACTGGCATATATTATTTACCACGAATTTACGTTATAACATTATTGTAAAGGTGTTCCCTTCGTGTTTTTGAATACTTATGGTTGGTAGATAGGGTTCTTTATAGCTAGTACATTTTCTAAATTTGTTGCTGATAGATCTACGATTTTTGTTCGAGTGCTCTACAAGAAGTTCGTCGTTACAGTTGACCGCCTCGTAAAACTTCAATGATAGTAAGACGACGAGAGGTCAGTTTTAAAAGAGTGTCAGCTGCCGAAAGAATGTAAATTAGGTGACCAGCAACCCTCTTCCATCAGCATCTCGTCCAGAAATCGATGCATTCGATCGATTCTCCACTCGAAGAAAAATAATGCAAAACAATTGTAACAACAAGAGGTAAAAACAAAAAAATAAAAATAAATGAGCACAATAATACAATGCAAGCAAAGGCAGAAAAAGGCGGCGAAATTGTGCAAAAAATGCAGCAAGAGTTCAATACACTCGCCCACTCACCCACACTCGTGCACTCACACCGACACGAACACGCGCCCCTACGCACACACACACATGCACACACACCACACCACGGCACACGCACACTAGCACACACAGCGACACGTGCAACGCGCTGTTTGTACACAATTTAAAAATATTTACGTTTTGTTTATAATGAACTTGAAAAATTCGCACAGTGGTTCAGCGATTAAAAACTAAAACTCGCGGAAAAGTGGCAAAATTATGCCAAGTATGGGTATATTCTTTCGTAAAACTTTCACTGGATAATAGTATGTTTTGAGAAGGATTCTCAAGGATGTTAATAATATTAAGTTCTAAGCTTGTAAATACAGTATTTTCGCAGAATTTGGTGCCAGAACCGAGCAAATTTTCATCGAAACCGATTTGAAAAAATATCGCTGCGTGCGTCACTGTCTTTTTGAGTTGGTTGCGCATGCGCTTGGGTGGCACAATAAATGTAATAAATACAATAAGCACAATAACAACAGTAACTTTCATGACAGCCAACGGCAAACACAATAACAACAATATAATGGTAATCGCAATGCGTGTTAAATAAACATTAAAAGCCAGCCAGATATGATATGTACGTATACTGCATTTTTGCCATATGCAAACAGCTGAGAAACCAAAGTGTTTCAGTTTCAGTTTCGGTTTCAGTTTCTGTATCAATTTCCCTTTTCAATTTGCCGTTTTCAATGGCGACGGAAAGTGTTGGCGGTGCAAAGTAGCAAGCAGCAAAGTAATATTAAGTCTATGAGTAGGAGCAGATGCAGAAGCAGAAGGGGCAACATTAACATTTAATTGCCAACATTTAGTTAGCATTTAGCTTAGCATAAAACAAATAGCTAACAATGCTGGCAACTGAAAATCCCACGCGCTGCTCTTCAACATTGAAAAACTACCATCCCCCCATTCCTGCTCCACATAATATTGCGCTCTTTATCACTTAGTTGCTTGTATACTTTACACAGCGAAAAATTACGTCATTCTGGCGTATCAATTTTACAAGAACACTTGCCTCTCGCTTTCTCCCACAGATCGTGACATACATACGTGTATATAAATATGTATTTAAATGTTCTATCTCCTCTATAGTTTGCAGCTAAAATTGTGCGCAGTGTACTGAACTGGCCTGCAATGCCTGAAATTCGCTTTCGTTTCGGGATTATTAGTTGCAAAAGCAAAGCCAGCGCCATAATTGTTTTAATTCGCACCCGTTTGCCAGTGAGTTGTTGTTGCTGTGCTGCGCTGTGTTGTTTGTTAACGTGTTTAATGGGTGTTGGTGTTGTTGCTGTTGTCACCAGTGACATGTCAAGGTGACTGGCCACCCGCCACCACCCAATTTCCACCCACAAAACCAGTCACCCACCTGATAAAGGTTATTGAAAAGGCGCGCGCCGCATTCTTTATTTTTCTTTTGGATTTTCTCATATTTTTTACCTTTTATGTGGTTTTCTGCTTTGCCTAAACTTTGCCGCCCCCACGAAAATACAAAAAATAACGCAAAACCAACGGCAGAAGAACAATAACTATGACCAGCCGAACAGCTTGTTTAATAGCAACAATAAAAGCAACAACAATTGTAGAATTATAGTGCAGAACAAAGGGCTTGCGGAGTGAGAAAGTGGCTAATACCGTGGATTATACGCACATATGTATGTTTTTATAAAATGCCTTAAGTTTCGTTGTTCTGTATGAGGAAAAATGCTTTAAGAGGAAGTAGTCTGTGTTTTTTTGTTTTAAACACATTGAATAGACACTTAATATGCCCCCGAAAAAACAGGGTATTCGCGAGCTGTGGCCAAACAAATGCCGTTGTTAGTTGGTAGAATGCGTCAGTTCACAGTTTGCTTTTCGGTGAATTTCCCCGCCAACTTATGTTTGGGGTTACGGGGTACCAGTCGATGGCGTTTATTGCCACAGACACAAACTATAAATCCATACAAATATGTACATATGTGTGTGTGTGACACAACAAGTGGGCAAAGCTGGTCGGGCCCCCACTTTTTCCACCCAACGGGTTGTTTTAAAGCGATTGAATTAAGCGGAAAAGGTCCGAATCATTGGATTTGGGGGAAATCCCCAGCATTTGATACGGATTCGGTTTAAAATTCGCTATAACATGTGGCCCGCAAATAACTGACACTCTTCTTAGTATTTAAGTATATAACGATATGAAATTTGGGCACAAAGGGTAGCTGAATTATCAACTATGGTGACTATATCTACTGAAATTAGGTACAAAACAAGTACTGACGACATTGAGATCTTATCCGATTGAAAAAATCTAGATCAAGGTATAATTAATATCAATTTCTATTTAGAGAGAGTTCCCCGCATTTTTTTTCAATTCCATATCATAATTGCCGTTAACTTGGCTAATACTGCATTTATTGCCCAACCATTCATGGTTCCGCGACACCAAAAACTCAGACATTGTCTGCACAGGAGCTAAGCTCGTTAGAAACCAATTGACTTTGCCGGATCAACGACACTCGCAGGGAGATCCGGTCTGCGGAGCCGTGTCTGGCCATTGTGCACCCATAGAGATACAGATACACTGCTTCCAGATACTTTTGGTCGCCGATTAGCGCACGCGCCGCGTTTCTTCAAGCAGGTAGTGTGCCATGCCATGGTTCCATGCCATAATATATGTTTGTTCCCCCAAAAGAGACCGGGTTTTATGATACAGCGGCGTCGGGAATTATGACGGCGGCTATCGATAGATGGATGGATGGATGGATGGATGGTTTTCGCTTGATGCAACACCGCTGTCGTATCACCAAATCATGCCGTACGAAAATTGATTGCCCCGTGATGAATAACAAACAACCGAAGTAAGACCCGTTCTTCCCGATTTCACGAACGTCTTGCGGGCTCCTCAGATAAGGTTCATTAGTTGGCGATCGAACATTTGTCGTATCTGGGTGTGTTTTTTTGGGGTTTTCCATCGTGAAAGACCTCGTGCCGCATTTCTTTCCTGCCAATTTCGTTAATCGCCGCTGGGCGCCAGAAGCATCTAATCACATGGAGCTCTAGATTTACACATCTTCATTCTCGATGGCCAACCAGCCAACTAGCCAGCCCATTGTGCATTATCATCGTGCACAGCGGCTTTCGTTCGGTTTGGGCGCTGCTTTCTATCTGCACAGCAAAGAACTGGCTGATAGTCATGGGGGTTCTATAAATAACAGGAAATATTAGCAATAGGCCAAAAGCTGCAGACATTGTGTACGCTACTAAAGCTGGACATAGGACATTTTTGTGTGTATGGCCATGAATCAGTTGCGTTAAGTCGGCAATCGTCATCGAAACCTTGAACCACTGCAGCAGCACCAAAAAAAGTCGTCATCGGGCGCGTCCATTGAGTATCGTAGCCACCCATTCAAGCACCACCAC